AATATTGAATCAATACAGAGGATGTCTGTATCTTTTTTGAAATCTTTACTTTCATGTCACTGATTCATGAAATACAGTTGTTAAGATTCGACTTAAAACAGTATTCATCGTATCGTTCATCATGCGATTCATCGTGTGATCGGATGACTGTAGAATTTCTCCTCACCTCGGTCTTGGTCAAGTCGCCAACCAATCAGAATATTTATTTCTATCCTGCCTTAGCCAAATCGATTTGATCAACCTATTTCCACTGGCCTGGGCCGACTTTGTTGTGGTAAAAAATATATAAGTGTGACGTGTTTTTCCTAATAAAACTGTATCTTAACAGTCACAGGTCAGTCAGTCTTTGTCTTTTGATATTTATATGGCTCAGTAAAGTGTGGAAGGTACTTCGGACGAATCGGTGTATCTAGCATGTCAGTTGAGTTGTACATTGCGTCGGTATTATTCTACTCACGCATATGTTCATTCGGTCATATGCATTGACGACAGGTTCATAACAAATCAGCGAGGAGTAAGTTGATTTCAACTGGCGACATAGATCATAGGAAATTGGCGACCGGGTTATTCACTTCACCGTCGGCATAACAATAGTGCACTCGAAGTTTCAAATTATTGCAACGCAATTGTTGTGTTTTGGATTTCCAACTTATTTCGAAGCGTATATCACGAACTGGGATTGGCTGGAGGGGAACCGATGATTACTGAACAGCTCGATGTAGTCTGAGTTTGCAATGTTTCCCCAGTTTCCATCAATCAAACTGTGACCAATGGAAATGATGACTGTCAAGTTATTTGAATGCTACTCATTTTATTTCAGTGGTATAGAGTAATTTGTGTGATACTAATGAACCGCAGTTGCATTTCAACCTGAAATTCACCAACCTGTAAGAAACAGATCTAGTCGAAGAGATTTATAATCTGACGGTATGAAATGAAACAAAGGCGTGAATTTGTAACGGAGGTGTTCTGACTCCACTCATTAACTGGTCACGTGTTTGAAATGAAATTTAGAAAGTGTATATAAAAATGTATTCGTGTGTGTGACAAGGCTGTGCTCTGTAGTGGTATATCGATGAGTGCAGCTGTGATTATTGATTATATTTGTGCTAAGTGTACTAGCTTTAAGATATAGGTAAAGAAATATAATATAAGAAGGAAGTGAAGTCATATATTCCTCCGTTATGACAAGTAGAACGGAGGTCATCCTGTGTGTATTGAGTGTATATGCCAATAATTTAGGACAAATGAGCTCACCAAAATGGGATTACCGTACACCTTACTGTAATGTCAACTTTCCGCGTCCAACTCTGTTGAATACTGCATTGATTCAATGTTATCCATGGAAGTAGGTACCTCCATTTCTCATTGTTACTCCTTGTTGTTGGGAATCGAAACTACATCTGACTGGAATATGCATCTGACCTTAAAAGTGGTTGTTTCGTATTCAGGAGACTTGAGCTAAGGAGACTATTCAGGCTGATATATATCATTCCGTCACTAATCACCTCGTGTCAAGTAGCATCAGGCGATGTACGAGATTCGACAAGTCGGTTTGATTCACAAGATTAGTTCACTTATCTAAAAATATTCACAATATTCGGATGCCAGAAGCTCTAATTGATTAATATTTATTTGCGACGAAATATCAAACGACGTCTTCGTAGTGTGTTTCCGCCGACTACAACATGCCTTACGTGATCACCGAAAATTGAAGAGTGACAGTTAACTGTGCAGTTAATTTTCAGGTTATTGATTTGGCAGAGAGATTAGTTTATCTGGAAATGTGAGAGTTTTCAGTAGACTGTATGAATCTAGCCCAATCGCAGTAATGAAATGAGCTGAAATTTTGTCATCCCGAACATTCTTCGACATACACCACGCATCAAAGCATTCAAGGTAATCTGCAATTTCCCACGGAAAACCGTTGCGACGACAAAATGTAACATTTATTTGTAATTGTATTTCGCAATGACCGAATTCCAGTAAACCAAGCAACAACACAGAAAGTGCAGAATTTCGGAATTAGTATTTGGCAGAATTGTTCGTAATTTATATAGTAAGTATTAACAAACAACAGTACGCATTTAAACAATACAGCAATAGAAATCGTCAATCACCCTAGAGAGGCGAAACAAAAACATAATCCCCACACGCCAGAATTGTCCTCCCATAACAGTTCTGAGTTATTGTTGTTACGGCCAACTTACGAGAAAGTTTCCTCCAATGTATATCAGTTTGACAATAACTTTCGGAAAATAAAAAGCATAAGTGCTTTGTTCAAAGACCAACTTCCATTCCAAATCAGGTCAACAATATGCTGCAATTGATCTTTCTAGTTCATAACTTTGAGCGAATTATAATTTGAAGAGTGAATTCGGAGATGAGTTAAAAAAGGATTGAAAGTTCGAAAGTGGAAGGTGGGAGGCAAGTCATCATGGAATGAAATTAAGAAAATATTGCTGCTTAATTGTTTCCTGTCTACACTGTGTACCTACATGACAGAAGACTGAGTGCTTTCTAAGATCATTTCAAATCTGGAACCTTCAACCTAGTCATCACCTTAGGCTTTCCATTCAGCTTTCATCAACCCACTGAATCAACTTCACTTCTTTAAACTAAAAATTACTTTAGATGGTTTCTTTGACAGTTAATTATAAGCATGGTTATTTCATCATATCACTGTATTATTACTACTCCTTTGGGTTCCAAGTGGAACATACGACTTCAGCAGCAGATCTCTTCACTCTTGTTTGTGCTTTATTCGAAGGAAGATCCATAGGTTCGCTAAATAGTTTCCCAAAGGCTTCCACCAGCCAGCTGTGTCATTTCACCTCACCCAGTATAGATAAAAATGAGTTTGTTCCTTGCATTTTAATATTTTCCTGTGCTTCGAAGTTTCTACAGCGATTTGATTGACTGTCTGGAGTAGGGGCGGTAGCCTCACGCCCAACCCTCACTCTTTTCCCCGGCTTGCGACCGGCTAGGAAACCAACGAGTTAGTAAACTAGGCAAGGTTAATAAATGTGGGAAGCTCCACTACTTAGCGTGTCATCTCTGCTCCGAGGCTATGCACATATTCTCTGCATTGTCCAAATTTTACTAAATGTACCATCGGAACAACAACTGTCTAAGACACTGACAGTGCTGTTGATCAGCTGCACTTTACCGGCCCTCTGCCCAACCTGTAAGTACTGACGACAAAACTGAAAGTTGAAGACACTTAGTTAATAAGGAAATATGCTCTGGTGCTCCGTACATTTGAGCAAATGATAAAGGGGAAGATTATCTAATTAAAAAGGTCTAGAACTTATCTGATGAATATGGCTGTATTACAAACTCAAACAATGTGAGTGTTGATAGTACAGCGGAATAGCACCAAATAGCGTCACAGCCAGTTCATATATCTACACATTAAAAGAAAGTCTTTAAACATTGGGATTTGCACTACAACTATAACTATTTCATCATGACTGCTACTTATTTCTTGATAGACGTTTCACCTTATTGACTTCATTATCCTTCACAAGTTGTAGTAGAAATAGGTATACCATGCAAGTGTTAAGTAATTTTTTCACGGTCACCCAAAACACTTATAAAAGTACAAGAGTAGTAGCTTCATTTCTCTCATCATTAAATGTAGAAGAATCTTGTATCATCTAAGCACTTCAATAATTCTGTGTCCTCTGATTTGCATAGTTTAAGACAAATAACTTTTAGAGTGTAAGACATACAGTTTTGAGAGAGTGGTGATGTAGTTTAAATTTAATTTCTAACTCAACAAGAATGAATGAATTCATGAATACACATGATACGTTATTTCTGAGTAGCCGATGACGTATTATGATAGGAATTCTCTAAGTGAGGAGACTTGAGCGATGTTTTATTGAATAGACGCAAATATTTGGTTCGCGTTCTTAAAATTAATGTTTGTATGTACATTTATGATTCCAGTTTTGTTTCGTATGATAAATCGTTACGGTTAGCTTATCTTTTGCTGCACCATAGAAAACAGTCACATAGTGAAACAAAGAAAAACTCATGATAGTTACCCTAAATATAACACTTAATATTATGTTCTTAGCACACTAGACAACTGTTTTTATAGCTAATCAATACATGCATATTTCATTAGAGTTTTGTTGCTGTTATCTCAGTAGGGTAGTATTCTTTTGCCACTAAACTGATAGATTACAGATTCATCGTGACTACCATTGCTATTCATTCATTTGTAGAAAAGAAGGTTGATTTGTTTCCTTGAACAACAAGTAATTAGGATGAAAAGGTGATAAACATTACAAGAGATTGTTTAGGTAAGAGTAACTTCAACGTAACTTCAGTGTCTTCATCTAAAAGAGGATAATTTCACCAGAAATGACAGCATGTTATAACCAAAACTGAATTCCTCGGTTAATTTACCTGTGTGTTTCATTCACTTACAAGTCAAATTTGATTTCAGACTAAAATATCTCCTTATGACATCTACAGAAGCAGAACAGTGACTAGTGAGTACATCGTCCACGCAGTGTGTCTTTTGCATGAGCATTTCAAAGGTTTAGTTAGCTCCCACTGTTTACTGTAGGAGGTGATAATGATTAATTAAGTAAGTCAGTCAGTAAGTAAGTGTTAAACACCTACAAACAAGCAGACTGTCTAGAACACAGTTTTCCAGTATTCAGAATTTAAGCGAGCAAAATATCAACCAATATTACATCAGTGAGATAGATTAGATTTCTTAAGACACTATTCGAAAAATTATTTGCAGTCAGGAATAATTTACAAGTGGTCCTGAAAGTATTCACCAAGACTTCAATGAAGCATTCCTTCAGATGACTTGTACCTCCGTTGGGATACAGTTCGGAATAGTCTTTTTTACATAAGTGTAGGATAACAGATATTTTTCAAGTTGGATCACCAAATGATATCCGTCAGGGACTCATCGAAAACCATGAAGAACTGGAGATTTGTTTCCACCTAGTTTGGGATTCTTCAGAAATACTCACTCACCTAGGATCCCAACTTTGATCGAATCCACTACCTTCAGGTTATGGGGACAGCCTGTTGACCATTTATTTGTACTATGACTTTAGAATAATTCGTCTTTTCTTATTCTTAATTGGCTTTTTCTAATAACTTCTATCTCATTTTCACGGCTTGAACAATCGTGTATTTGCGTCAGTTTTCATATTGATCAGGTCTGCTTGTTTGCCTTACGTAGATCATATCATAAGTAAAATGTACAATGTGCGATTTCTTCTGTTTGATGAGTCACCAGTTGAGTGCAGCAGTAGAACTAAGTCTTTAAGTGAAGAGTACTCCACTGCTCTACCTTTCCATTCCTTCCATTTTGAACTTTGACGTTTCATTAACCACGGTGTCGGATTTTGTGGGGTAAGAAAATACACCACACCTTCTCTCTTCCCTAAAGTTACGGTTTTCTATTGAACTAGTAGTGATTACCAAGTATGTTGACTGAGAATCGAACCCAGACCTCCAGAGTAATCGGCGTGCATTCTATCATTGGACTACTCATGCACCTGCTCCACACAACTAAATGACATATTCGAAAGATATTTTACACCCTAGACTAAAAAGTCTTAAAATTACTAACTATAAATTCTCACTTCTAGCTCCTAGAGATGATTTCATTGGATTAGCTAGCCATCAATCAAATTAAATAACTCCTTGTGAAAATATTAATGCTCTAGAAATACGATAAGGCGAAATTCCATTTTACCAACACACAAATTTGTAAATTGTATTTCAGAAAATTTTAGTATTTTTCTCTGACAGGTGATTGCATTCGTCATACGATGTAATATATCAATCACAATAATCATCAGCCTACTGAAGATGTATTTCTTTGTACAAAAATAGTAAAAACAGTAAAAAAAATACCGATGAAACGATTGAAATGTTATCGTCATTGCCAAGATAAGCATCGTCTCCACTCTGACTATCTATCTATACCTATCTTCTTCTTGTCTCTTTTTCTCGCATTGTTTCACAATACTGAGTCAACTTTGCATAAATCTTCATAATTTGGTGGAATTTCATTGGTAGCGTAACCAAGTTTCTTCAATAATCGACTATTCATATGCATGGTTGAAATGTATTCTTTCGGAATAACTGAGCCATTCCTAGACCAAGCAGTTAAAGATTCCAAGTGAATAGGCTTGACAACTTGCACTGAGCTAGCTTCATATCTAGAGTAATAAAAACAAACAACAACAAACACTATCTCTCATGTCCTTATTGATCGATTACTTGTTATCTGCATTGTTGAGAAAAGAAATTATTTTCAGTTGACAGTCATTTAATCATATGCTGTTCTTTTGCATGCCTGACTAGCATAGACCTAGTATTGTGTCACATGTACAAATGCATAGACTGAAAATTGCTATGCTTTGAAAGACAGATTCATCAATGCTCATTTTGCCTGTTATTCAACGAGTAACTACTCCACACAGAATATGATTTTAGTCAAATTACTTCAGCATAAAAACTGTTTCAACAATACACTGACTTGTACTTTATCTCACCTATTTGTGAAAAGAGAATGAGCATTAACCATTCTACTGACTATATCATTGGCTACCGAAACAGTGTTTAGTGCCAAACTGAGCAAGTTAATTGACAAAATAACTGTAAATATATTCAGTATCAATACGATTTTTTATCATGGTCACCCAGGGTGATTTAATTTCGAATTCATGTAGTACGGTTAAGGACAAGTTGATTAACTATGCTGTCGATAATCTTTCCGAAATGAAAGTCCATAAAGCAACAATATAGTTTTCTTCATCATTATGGAAATTCGCAAAAAAAACACTATAATAACCCTGAGAGGTTTCTACACCTAATATAGTTAGTTATAAATTAGATTTCATTTTATTTCTACAAATGACAGCATAAATTGGTCAGACAGTACAGAAAATAAGTAATTCTCATCTACTCTCCTTGTCTTACTCTTACATCTATCTGTTGACAATGAATGAAATATTTAGTGTGCACAGTGTCAGTTTTCTGTGATCGACTTGTTGCTTTCTGACAAAATTCCTATACTGTATCAAAGAGTGAGTAAGATGACTAAGCCTTGGTCCTAATCTGCTGTGTTGTGGCATACAGTCTGAATGACTTGGTGTAATAAGAAGACAAGTGAAGTTGAGGATGTATTAGTTAGTTAAGGTACATGTTCACTTTCAGCTGTAAATGATGATTACGCTAAAAGAATAACTAAAATACTAATAATATTCACAGGAATATAAAATCAGTAGTGAAAGATGATCATAGATCAAAGCGAATGATGAGCCTTTCATCAGTGATTCATTTTGAGTCATGCAATCTAAAGTGTTTTGTCATTAGTGTCTAACGCTAGCTAACATGTGACTCTAGTGACCTAATGGATAGTGCCTCGTACGTCGGTGAATTAGTGGTTGAACGTCCACAAAACACGCAGGTGGTCTAGTTTCGATTTCCGTTCGAGGGATTCCTCAATCTTTGCTGATGTACTGGCCTTAAGTAAGTCCAGGAAGGAGAGAGAAAGGATGGGCGAAGGGATAGACTCTCTACCACATAAAAACAACACCACCACCACTGAAACCTTGAAACCTCAAGCCCTACATTCCACCAGGAACGCATGGAGTGAAAAAATCCAGCCAAGGAGGTAGGAAATGAGGCAGGAAATGTATCAATAGGTGTCATTTAATGAGTTGGCCACTTTTTATTTATTTCCTAATTGTATCTTATTCACATTGATCTTAATGAAATTTCGAATTCTTCATACTCACGACAGGAAAAGCACTTTACGTACATACGATTATTATCATGCGTTAATTTCGCAAAAGTGTTTCTGAAGTTTGGTAAAAATAGTAAACACTCAAGTCTCTCATTTACTTATCTTTTACTGAATAATTATATAAAAACATGAAATTAATGAAGACGTTAAAATGCCTGAGAATCGATAAGCATTAATCTTCAAATCGACTTCAAGTTTTCAAATAGTTCTTTGAACAGGAGAATCCTCTCAATTTGTGAATACATTGGAATCTTGAGAGGGCCATGAATTATCACTGTTATCTGACTTTATACATGTTTAAGAGTTTCCATTAATAGAAAGTTAGTGTAAATATGAAACATCAATTTATTCTGGAGTAGGGAAGCAAGTTCCTGAGAAATAAATTGATTTGACTTTAAATCAAGAAAGACAATTTTTAGTCATAATAATGTAGTCGAATATATCCCACTGATTGATTTAAGTAGCTACTAACTATTCACATCAAACTGTAATGCTTACCAGCCATACGAGGGTACTCTAAACAGAGGGTTTCCGTTTCACAGTTGTGTTCACCTCTGGAAGAGTTGAAATCAATTTCAGCTGACTTGTTTTCACCTAGTGTACTATGTCTACCTTGATTAAACATGGATCATAATGTGATTTCACAATATCCAATCAGTGCTTTGAATACGTATGTAGTTCAGGGATTTTGTGTTATTCAATGAGCATCATTCATCTTCTTTTTACTTGAAGAAACACACAGTAAGAGAAAACCAGGTATGCCTTTCTCGCATTTTAACCTTCGGCAGATAAATTCAGAATTTTTAGCCAGATGAATATTTACTTCTTTGCTTCAGTATAGAGCATTTCTACCTTCATTTTTCAGTTAAAGGAATGCTTAGTAGGTATCAAACTATGCGACAACACTCCGTTTTATTCCCACCATTAAATGTGGAATACCACGATGGAAAGCATCTACAGTCCAAGATGTCGTTTTACAAGAAACAATTTTCTTCGTTTAGTTTAAAATTTCCATTGATCTTTCAGTCGCCATTATTTAAGCGACATTAAAACTGAACAACTACTGGCATGCATTTGATCAAGGTAACATAACAGTACTATTTGAATGGAACACTAGGGGCTTCAGAGAAATCAGGAACAATTATCCTCCCGAGACATCAGAGACTAGTCAAACAGGGAATACGAAGCTCAGTAAACTATCAGAATAGCACGACGGAAAACCACATTCTTTTTACGATTTTGACAAGATTTCTTTGAATATGAAAAGGCAGACCAAAGTAGATATTGTATTTGAGCTCTAAATTACTTCAGGAATCTAATGGAGTACTTGCCTAAAGGACTTTTAAATTTCGAAGTGCTTTGTCAACATAGTAAGTACAAGGCCTTCCCTATAATCCGGTTGGATATTTCTTTATAATGCAATACAATTCAATAACGATAACAGAACTACTCAGAATCGCTTCACTTTCTTTTTTAAACCTTGAAAGGCTAAAAACACTGGAGATCGGAAATCAGTTTACACTGTTATTGTCAAGATTTGTTTCAATGTGCCTCGTGTTCCACTCATATAACTTATAAGTTTTGGAAATGTATGAGAAATCAGTGTTTAAAACTACTCTTATTTCTAACAGTACTGAACAGAGAGCATTAATTTTAAATGTAAGTCGACCTGTTTAATGTTCAAAGGGAAATTGAGCCGTTAAACTACATTTTTATCTTTCTGACTACAGTCGATGACCAGCATCATTTTCGACTCTAAAATATTCAGAAAGAATCCACTTGTGTAAATTCTTTCTAGACTTGAAGTTCAGTAGGCTGGGTAATTTCCATGATATTTGTTTAAAGAGAACTTTGAGAAATATGCTATTGGCGGATATGAGTGGACACTAGTTAAAATGGGAGAGAATAGGTTGCCAATCTCTGAATCTGGATGCAAGTAGTTCATTATGACGAAATATTTGAAAACCAAGTAAAGTGAATGAGTGAACATTGATTAAGATGGACAATTTGATCTGAATTAGGATTAGATTGAAAAGTAGTCAGGAGTGTTTAAACCGATACATAGCGTTTACCAATTAGTTTGAGTTACATGGGAAACTTTAGATAGTTTAACAGAAGTCTTTGAGATCCTGAGAATAATGAGTTAAAGAATCTTTGTGAAGAGGTTCAAAACCATCCATAATGACACAAATGAATTCACCACTCATAATCTCACAGATACTAAGAAGTCTCAGTGACCTTATTTAATTATTTCCTTCATTACACTTATTTTGTCTACCATAGTTTCCCACTTCTAATCTCACCATAAAATCACTTCCACATAATGAATTCAAGGAAGCCACCGTAGTTCTTCAACCAATTTCTCTGTGGACTGTACCAGTGAACAAGTAAATAAATCAGATATTAAGAGTGAATCCGTTCCACAACTCGTGCTTCAAAACACTTTGAATTCCGATGTTAGGAATTATCTTTGAATTGATTGTATAAAAGAGAAATGAGTCGTTAATCACTCGACATTTAACGTCGAGTTCCATCACATACTTATAGAGCGATTGAAATATTTTCCCCAGATGACATATTACAATATGTGGAGCAGGGTATGAATAAGGTATTTCCTTACACTATCTCTAATATTGGTTAGCCAATTTTTCAATGAGCAAAGCAGAGATCGTCGAAATGAGTACAGTTAAATTCATCAGTAATCAGCTCAGCGAAGCATTAAGTCAGCATTTTGCAGGATCAGTGATCAGGTGATAATATCAAAGCAACCTTCAAAATTGAATGACTTATGACCCAGCTAATTGTGTTTTCGTTTACCTATTGTTGTCTGAGAGTAAATGACCATCTGCTTACCCCCATCTTGCAGTCGATCGTAAATACACGTGGACCCTTGTCAGAACAAATCATTTGAATTGTTGTTTATTTCCTCTGGCTAGAAGAAGGACGACGGACCTATCGTGGTTTCACTGACGTGTTTATAACAGAAACCAATGACGGTTGATTACGAAGCGTCTACTATTTGAAATCAGTTAGGCAGCAAAATGTCTTCATATGGAGTAGGTTTACCAAGTTGGGATATCGAAGAAAAGGAGAAAACATGATGACTAGTATGAATGGCTATACTTCAGAAAGTTGATTCGATTCTAATTCACGCAAATAGTTCAGCTTATCAACAGTTTAACCTTAAGATTTTACGAGGATGTTTTGCCAAATAAGTCGATGATTTCACTTCTTTATCTAGTCATCTTTTAGTCACGTTGCATTGTGTAGCCTCATCGACCAATTAGTTTAGCTAGAAGAAGTACATTCACCACAGTCACTATTACTATTATCACCAATCACTGATGTGATACATGTACGGGACTTACTTGTTCAACATAGAAATATTATGAATGTATTTTTCATGTTGCAGAAGTCGGTCGTCCCATGGAAGATCAAGGAATTCTAAAATAGGAGACAACATACACATTGTATTTTACACGAAACAGAAAACTCATATTTAGTCAATTAAATCAACAACAGTCTGCAGATATGTGGACTAGACCTCATGTTCGGAGGTCATTTGTGCCATATGATTACCCAGAATCTTGTGTAGTGGTGAATAAGCGAGCTAGAAAAACTGGAATTCGATTATGTATCTTATCTAAGTTAGAAGAGTATGGTGATGCAATGTGCAATTAGTAGTTTCTCAAGTATCAGAAACATGAACATCTGAACTATGGATAAGTATTCGAGCAGTGGAGAACTGAATATTTCTTTGACAATGAAAGATTTTCTTATACACTTTATGAGCATGTGAAAGGGTTTCTGAGTGGATGTGACTGTGATGATGTCTTATTATGTGTTGCTCAATGTATACCAATCGAGTACGAAATGCAGGTAAATTATGTGTGACCTGCGGATCTGACCTTGAGTTTTAAGAATTATTTGTCGTTATATGACATATGTTTGATTCGACATCTTAAACTTCATCATCCACTGTCAAAGTCGAGTTGTGATAAAAGATGCTCCTAAATTTATCAGTTCTAATGAGCGAATTTTCCTGGTTTGTGGTAGTATATACTGATTTATAGTCACACTTAGGCAGTAGACTTCATATCCAAATGTACAAAACTCCACTCCCATGATTTTCTGCAAGTATATGTGACCTACTGCATCAGAAATACTTCGTTTTTAATTTTATTCTAGTGACGTTCATTCAACGACAGTATTTTAAGGATTAGCCCTACTATCACTCTCTAAGTCGCTGATTTCGTCTTTAAGCAATTCGGCTTCATACCCCATAAAGTACATGAATTTCATCATGGTGGCAGATAATCCTTTCTGAGTTCATATTATTATAATTATTGTTTCCTTTGATTCCTATAGGAACATAGGGTTTCAGCCGATCGTCTCCACTGCGTTCGGTTCTCTGCAAACTTTTCACCTCCTTCCACGTCTACCCACATGCTTTCATCTCTTCTTCGCATAAACTTCTCCATGTCACCCCACCCTCACACTGACGACCAACTCGCCACTTCACATTTGGGTTATATTTGGGCGATGGCCTGGTGTGTGATGTCACTAACCTGCTGGTTTGTCTTCTAAGAGTGTAGCCAAACCGATACACATCAATTTCACCCTGGTTATTTGTTCCACAATCAGTTCTTGCTGAGTTGGTTCGTTCTTTGCCAAAGATCCCTTCCTGTTGCTGATATTTTCTGGCTGGCCATCTGATCTTGAGTAGTACTGAGCGAAGACAGCTGTCGATGAAAGCTTGTAGTCTGTTCGAAGTACCCTTTGTAACGCGGCGTCATGTCTCTGATCCGTATAGTAGCACTGACTTCACTTCGGAGTTGAAAGTCCGGATCTTATTTTTCATTTTCATGCTGAGTCAGTCCTATTGATCTCCACTCAGACTTGAGAGAAATGAAAGTTTTCCCTGCTTTCATAATCCACGCTTTGATATCCCCATCAGTTCCGTCCGCCTGTAGTTGAAACGATGTTTCTCAGGCAGGTAGGTAGGTAGTTGAAGGGAGTTGCTCCTTTTAGATTCAGTTTCTCCCATTTATCCTGATTGTTGTCTGTTGTTGTTGCTGTTACTGTTGGTCGATAATCTTCATCACCTCTGTTTTCTCCATGTTCACCTGAAGGTCCAACTTTGACGCTTCTTCCTTTGTCGACTTGTTGCTTTTCACTTGCATATCTTCCATTTTGTGGGAAATCAAACATATGCCATCGGTGAAGTCCAGATCCTCCAAGTATTTTGTGTGGGTCCATTTTATGCCTGTCTCCTCGTTACCAGCCAACTGTCTCTCTGTCGCATTATCCAGTCTACCGCTATCAGGAATATCATTGGAGAAAAGGAAGAGTATACAAAGTGAATACAGGAGACGAAAACTAGGTGAGCTAAAATATAGTTGGAGACTACCATACTTTAGCATAGAGGCATTAAAACCATGACAGTTGGAGAGGTTGAACGAACTTTTTGCGTACACAGAGATCGTACAAGTGTTGGATGAAGTTCATAACTGTCTTTTTTATTTTTAGTTTGATTTACAGCTTGATTCCACACCGTATTTTTGGTACAAGTATGGAATTTTCAGCGTGGATATCGGTAGCCCAAAATTCGCAGGCTGACCATAGATATTGGGTGTGCGTCGGCGTAGGCTGTTGGTGGCACCCCGTAATAGCCAAGTACTTTCCAAATCGCCTCTCGATCAACGCTGTCGAAACCCTTTCCAAAGGCGATGAAGTTGATTTAGGGAGATGGCTGACTGCCACTCCAAGCTCTGTTAAATAATGATCCACAGTTTTGTGATTTGATCGATGTATTACTTTCATTACACTGATCAGTCATGCACACTACTGAGCTCAGCTCACTAATCAATTTTTCAGTTCGATGAACTTTGACCTCATTGAGTTCCCATGTTCACGTACAAGCTAACACTATTTATTAGATTTTTCTGTTTTATGTCTTCTCTCACCTCCCTTTTTATTTCCCTCATAGTTCGAAAGCATATAAATTGATGGTAACTTAAACTAAAAATTGTAATACTTATATTCCGGCTGCGCTCATCTTATAAACTTTTCCTTATTACCTTTCAAACATTGAAGTATGAAATGTCATTATTTATAACTATTGTAATTTTAGGTAGTTTGCAGCTGATGAGAACCTCTGGAGTAGAATTATATCATTTTATACCGCAAATCTGGTCTTTCTTTCTGTACCGAAATTTATCAAGGGAACCAAATGTATGAAATTTACTTTTTTCTACCAAAACAATAGTTTGTTATGTATTTTTTGGTTCTCTACCTGTAGTATTTTGCAGTTATTTAGAACTATTTCACTGACTGCGTTGCTGTCATATTTTCTTTGATTTAAAATTCTCAGTGGTGTGAATTTCCCATTTTATGTCTCTTCAAATGTATGGTGTGATTTTACTAACTCATCAACATTATCCAAGATGACTGAAATACTTGAGCTTAGTGAGCATAAACTATCTGAGGCAAATAATATTCAGAATATGATGACTGTCATTTTTCCAAGGACTGTCTCATGCTGTAGTCGACGCTCACTGTCTTTGCTGGAAGAAAAGTTCAACCTGGTGTATACCTGACAATCATGTACTTCATAATTTGACAGTGAAACAATTTTTGTTCTGTTTCAAATTAATGTCATGATATAGAAATGAAAATGATTTCAGAGTTGAGGCTGAACTAATTTGATAAACCTTTTCAATCTAAGTAACAATAACAACCTTTAGGAATGATGAAACAGTGATACATTGTAACCAGTGAGCGATTCAAGAACAAATAGGCTGGAAACTACCAGTTTAAGTTAAATGGGTTGATTTTCAACTGTTGTAGCATATGAGTGAAAGATGCACCAGATCACATGTCTAAGCAATCTGACTGTTCGTTTGGACTGTCCTACCACACAGTATGTGAATGCAACATTTGGTGGCTGCATAATACTTTGTTCAAGGGGATATTCAGTAGAATCCAAACCTCTCACAATAAATGAATCGATGAAGCCACAAATAATTTCACTGTTGATTTCATCATGAACCAATATGAGTTAGAGTGTCATTGGAAACAAGAGAGCACTGCACGGGTGGTTTGTCCTAATTTGTGACTCTTTACAGTGCACAGTTAAGACACCACCAGGAGTCGAGTCCAACAACTTCAGATTATGACGTGGGCCAAGTGACAATGTAGCCAGTGGATCGGAAACTTCGAAGGAGTCGTCGGTGCACACTCACCAAGAGACCCAAAATACGACGAAGCAGCCAACTGGTGATGTATGGTTTTGAGCGTTTATGTAACAGTTGTTGGTTAGTTTACATTGAAGTTAGTCCGGAATCCCCACAAACGACACAGTATCTCCAATCAAACAATTAGGGTAATGTAAGTTAAGATTCTCATACTCACAATGGGATTTAGATTGAAGGAATTCAATTCCTCACAAAATAATTCATCATTTGCACTGACTATCTTTCAAATAATGTCAGGTCAATAATGTATAATACGTTTAGACCGAATTTCGCCACATCTCCAATAATCTACAGGAGATCTACCGACATGCCTGAAACATCTCATAAAGTCATAAGAAATAACACATATTGGTACAACCAAACCACTCACCTGAACTCTGATGACCTCCAATAAATATCAGCGGAAGATGGCGAGGATTATCATCTGGTTTCTCATTTTGTGTTGAGTTTGTGTAAAAGCGCGATTCGGATTGAAATGATGCGATCAGTTTTATAATCAGTAGGGTAGTACCAACGCCCATGAAGAAGGTCAAAATCGATTTTCTAATATTTCTACCTGAGAAAACACTGTTTTAAGTTAGTATACTGAAGAAGAATGTCAGCAATATTCAATGATTAGTGTGAAGCTTATTTTAGTTGAAACAAGGTGTTTTGAACGTACCAACGATTAGTCCAATCAAAATACTCACTACTGCGCCATTGCATACTTGTCTTCTGAATGCCTCATTGAAACTTATCAGATGGTCTGATTGTTTCAGAAAACGTCAGTCAAAACAGACAGAACTTCATGACTCAAACAGTGAGACGTCATCTTACAAAATTTATCTGATATATATAAGGATTTCCTAAAATCTACAAATTGTCGTCAATAATTTCGCCCATAGCCTTACCTGGTTTTGTTTACTAATATAGCCGAAAGCAATTTTGCATATATTACATGGTTTCACTCATAGACAAGTGTGAAATTTCCGAATATGTTTCATCACAAACCGACAACTGCTAGATAATCACTGGTAACGGAAGAGTATTGGACGGCTACTTCGTCCAAGTCCCCCACTCTTCCACAGTGAATTCCCATAGCCCTGCTAGAGTCTGTTCCTCGTTTTTCAGTGCTTCTCTGACCGAAGTTGACTTGTAACGAAATATAGATTAAAATTGCCTCAATGTCCAAACATCCGAAAATCCGTAATACCAAGTGATTTAGTTTCAAACATTCCACCTTATTTGCCAATTCCCTGAATCAAAAGTATTTTGTTATACTGGTATTCCGTCTCACACAATCTGATCAATAAAGGCGAATGAACTCACCTTATTTCATGCCTACAATTGACTCATCTACCACCTTCATATTACTGGTAACCACAAAAACAACAAAGATTGTACACCTTATTCAGCATATCTACCATTAGGCTCAGTGGTACGTTGTTTTCATGCACCATTGAAAAAATATATGAATGGAAAACAATTATACCAGAAAGTCTAGGATTTTCATGCATTGCAGGAGTAATTCACAACTTATGTTTAAATTTTGGTCAGAATTTTCACTCCACACCACTGATTTTGTCTCCGGAATATGTCGGTTTTAGGAATATATTTTCATCGCAAACAACACTGGATAACCTATCGGTATAAATCACACATTGCGAAACATGGGTCTAACATCATTTCATAATTTTTATATTTTTTATTTTATTTTTACAATATTGAAATCTATCTTATCAAATTTCACACCATGTTATGTAACATTTTGTATTCGTCTACTAATCTAATAATTATATACCTCTCTCCAAAATCTATACACCTTATGTATTATTCTATATATGATATTAATTATTTTGCCACTTGACCTTAAACTATGATCATTATCACAAATACTTTAATTGCACTTCATACTAATATTATTTCATATATATTCACACCTTTGACCTAATTCCTTCAATGGATATAATTTCTTTATAAAACCATATATATATATATATATATATATATATATATATATATATATATATATATATACGATTGTACAGTTTGGTAATAAATTCGTTGAAAAAATCTCTTTGCTGAATATTGTGTTCTTAATTAATTATGCACTAAACAGAAGTCAGAAGATTTATAATGAACACTTTGAAAAATTATGGATTACTGTTATACATTTTCAAAATACTTCATCAAGACTTACCATTCCAAGATCTGAACATCCTCATTTCTGAGAAGTGTGAAAATTAATATGATAATTAGAAATCCACACTGTTATGTAGAAAAGTTAGAGTGTAAGCAATTTATCGTTATTATGCATTCCAAATAAATCAGCTCTGTTTATTTTAGTAACTCTGTCAATGTTGTGCACTCTCCACACTTCAAATAGTAAAAAAATGAGTATATGCATACAATACGAAGAAACTTTATGCGAGAAAAAACATCTGCATTTATTATCTATTCAATAATTTCATACTTAATTATTCAAGAGACTATGACAATAAGGATAAATATGTACAAATACACTGAGTGATTAATGAGTTAGTTTGGAAATTGACCAAATATCCATCAGTTTGAGTTATTTGACTTCAATGTACACAAGTACAGTAAGAGAACAAAGGCAAATTAACAGCACAACAAATGAGCATATATGATGACAGGGAGCATAATTTCATGAACAATGGCTAACATAGTCGAAATTTCGGGGATTGTCATCAGTATCATTGTTATTCATTTTTCAGGTTTTCCAAGTAGAATATAGGGCTTCAGTAGCACACTTCCATTCAACTCGGTTTTTCACCATCGCTTTCAACTAACCTCGAGTCTGCATATAGGCTTTCACTTCCTCTACGATATCACCTTTGAACGCCGGTGTATAATATCACTCAAGGGTCTACTAATTTATCGGAAGATAGGATGCTGGCTGCTTCGCTACCTGTGAGAGTACCTCGCTGCCTACCCCTTCTGTCCGGTCATGTGATGTTCACTATCAAGCAAAGAGGCAGGTGATGAGGAAGTACTTCAGCCTGCTTGAAATGCTTCCAGTGACGTGAATGTCAAGTCCATCAATCACACAGAAGTGCCGACTTGACACTGGTGTTGAGAATTTAAATCTGGTTCATTGTTTAAAGTGCTGTGTATCTACGCGGTGACTGCAGTGTAGTGAACTCTTGTCTTGCTTCACTTATCCTTATCGGCTTTGAAATCTCCACTCGTGTCACACGTAGTTGAAAGAATGCTTTCTAAGTCAGCTTAGTGAATGAGACGTCTTCTTTCAAAACTCTTCCACTGGTGGTAATTGGTGTTGTTTGCTGGTTATATATCTTCATCACCACTGTCTGCCCTATGTTCACCTGGATCCCTGCTTCACCTTCTCCCTCTACCAACATGTTGGTTTTCACACGTTTGTCTTTGAGTTCTCGAGGCATAAGAAATAAACTATCCGTTATATCCTGTCTTCTCATTCCCTGTGGTCTGTGGCAGAATTCAGTCGACCACAGTCAGGAAGATCATTATTAATAAAAGGCATCCTTGTCCTACTTCATATGCCAGCTCTTCTCATGCAAAGTCCCCAAGTCGCTCTTCTCTGGTAATTTAACAAGGTGCTCCTACTTCCAATCTGTGGGTACCTCTCCTTCCTTCGAAACCGCCTGCTGCAGGGGCATAAACATATCCGCTGAGGTCTCTTTTGGTCCATTTCCAGTTTTTCTTGGGAAATCAAATCTAATCCTGCTTCTGCTCAGGCTTTCAGTAACTTTATGGTGTGGTGAGAGCAGGCTGCTAGCCGATTGGTTGGCACTAATCTACGTTAAGGTCTAGGTCACTAATATGGGCCGTGAACAAGCCTGAGTCGACAACCAATCACAGCAAAGTTAACGTGGCAAAATATGATTCGCAGAGAGAACTCTATTTGTCAAGGAATCCCGAAACAACCAATCAGAAGCCTGCGTTTGTCTACCTAAACAACCAATCAGATGACTGCGCTTGTCTATAATAATGTAGTTGAAAGATGTATAAATACGTGTTGATTTTCATAATAAAACGATCTGTTGCCTGGCCCTTGTCTTCTGTTGTTACAATGGCAATGGAAACTCCTTCTTTTGTCGGAAAGTTGAGTGGCAGTTCTCAGAATACTGATGGTATTTCTGAACGACCTCTAGGTGGCCATCGATTCAAGAGTCATCAGAAGTGATCAGGCCAGCGTTTATTTAGTCTCACCTTTGTGGTGATTCGGTTTACTTTATTTTCCTTCACTATTGTTGATCTCTTCTCTGTCAGCTTCCTGGCTATCTGATTTGATGTTCTGAGGTTTCTTCTACTTCCAAACTATTCTGCTTCCGTTGTCATTCTATTGCAAAAAAATCTATAGTGTCTATCTTAGCACTCATTTTCACTCCTTTGATCAATACCGTGTAGGTTTAACTCAACCTCTCTACTCATTGTTCATCTCCGCACTGGATCGCCTTTTGTTCACTGCCAACTCCCAGACATCGTCAGAGAGCAATCACTTATCATTTCTTTTCTTAATGTAAGTGTAGAACTCCGGCACTATGGTAGAATGTAACTCCACATTAAATAAGTTTATTTTCAACATAACACAGTGATGCAGTTGTGACATTATTGCTCATAATCATATCAATTTAGTCAGACGGTTTCACGATTTGTCATATATGTTTGGTCATGCTTCTCTGTAGAATATACGAAAACAAGATGGTGGGTTAGATACTAGCATTTATAGAATACCGACACACTTTAATAGATACTTAGACTTTTATTCATCCCATCCAGAATTGGCAAAGATAGGTTTAGTTAAGTTTCTTTGTAATCGGACCAAGAGCCTAACTAGTAGACCAGAAGATTTAAATAATGGAATAAAACAAATAAAGGAAATATTACTAGTGAATAACTACCCACGAAAATTTATTCAGAAATATGTGAAGAACCACAGCAAAAATAAGGTTAGCAATAAAAATGACGAAAATAATATAGAATGCAAAGTGTATGTTGTACTGCTGTGTAAAGAAGGAACGTAAGACGCCTCACATAGGATTCTTGATGAGGCTAGAGTTAGTCAAGCCGGCATTTGAACCAACCAACTCTCTCAGAGATGAACTTTGTCTGCCAAAAGGACCCAACAGATCCAATTAAGAAGAATAATATGATTTAGCGAACTCCATGTAATGACTGTGAGGTCGATTACGTAGGTGAAACTAGTAGATCGAGGCCAACTAGATTACTTTTTTTCCTTCACGTTCCAAGTGGAACATAGGGCTTCAAGCTAGAAGGCTTGAAGTTTCTGTAGCAGTGTTTATTTTTACAGGATGGGGTTGATAGCCTCATACCTAACCTTCTCTCTTCACCAGCTTTATTACTGGCTTAGTGAGGTAAAGGAGTTCGTCCGTCGGGGATCGAACCCCGGACCATGTGAGCGTACTAACCTCTATGCCAACGACGCACACCAACTAGATTACTGGAACATAAAAATTTAGCTAGATCTACAATGCAATTAAAATGTCTGTGATTATAAAAATAGTTGAATATTAAGTGGAAAACAGTTAATGTTATATATATATATATATATATATATATATATATATATATATATGTATAAATTCATAGGCCATATAGGATGTATGTATATCGGTCGTTCGACTCGATTTTTGTCCAAGTACACTAACCTGAATGGTTACGAAGAGGTGGAAATGGAGCAATAAGGAGCGCAATCATTGAACGTCTGATGGATAACGATCGTCTTATCTCTACACCTATCAACTTTCAAATCATCCACAAGGCAAAAAGTAATTCGCCGAAATCACTACTTACACGGTTCATCTGCTTTGTTGAATATTTGGTCATCGAAAGAGAAAAGTCAGATCTCTGTATACAAAAAAAAGTTCGTTCAAACTCTCCAACTGTCATGGTTTTAATGCCTCTATGCTAAAGTATGGTAGTCTCTAACTATATTTTAGCTCACCTGGTTTTCGTTTCCTGTATTCACTTTGTATACTCTTCCTTTTCTCCAATGATATTCCGGATAGTGATAGACTGGATAATGCGACAGAGAGACAGTTGGCTGGGTAACGAGGAGACAGGCATAAAATGGACCCACACGAAATACTTGGAGGATCTGGACTTCACCGATGGCATATGTTTGATTTCCCACAAAATGGAAGATATGCAAGTGAAAAGCAACAAGTCGACAAAGGAAGAAGCGTCAAAGTTGGACCTTCAGGTGAACATAGAGAAAACAGAGGTGATGAAGATTATCGACCAACAGTAACAGCAACAACAACAGACAACAATCAGGATAAATGGGAGAAACTGAATCTAAAAGGAGCAACTCCCTTCACCTACCTACCTGCCTGAGAAACATCGTTTCAACTACAGGCGGACGGAGCTGATGGGGATATCAAAGCGTGGATTATGAAAGCAGGGAAAACTTTCATTTCTCTCAAGTCTGTGTGGAGATCAATAGGACTGACTCAGCATGAAAATGAAAAATAAGATCCGGACTTTCAACTCCGAAGTGAAGTCAGTGCTACTAAACGGATCAGAGACATGACGCCGCGTTACAAAGGGTACTTCGAACAGACTACAAGCTTTCATCGACAGCTGTCTTCGCTCAGTACTACACAAGATCAGACGGACGGCCAGAAAATATCAGCAACAGGGAGGGATCTTTGGCAATGAACGAACCAACTCAGCAAGAACTGATTGTGGAACAAATAACCAGGAAGAAATGGATGTGTATTGGCTTGGTCACACTCTTAGAAAACAAACTATCGAGTGAGTGACAACACACGCCAGGGCATTGCTCGAGTGGAAATCACATACTTTGAGAATACATCAGTTTCATATTCATGTGATCACCATGTTTGCGAATAAAAATATCTCATCTTCTAAAGCAATAAACCAATACTTTAGATAATGTATTTAAACGCACTTATCATTGACACTGACTGAAATAGTTATAACAACAAAATTTCTCAGGGGTATAATGCGTGGTGTGAGTTGTGCGACTCAAAATTTTTACTGTCTTCAGAAAACAGAACAAAAAACTTTTCCAATGAAAATCGAACTCCTGAACTCATTTGAAGCTGGATAACACTCATTTGTTCGTTGAAGGGTATGCAGAAGACACTCGTAAGTTGACTGTCTGAAACTGGTGTAACGGATAATTACTAAAGGGCGTAAACAGCTCAGTGGTAACGTCTCTGACTGCACTACATTATAATCTGAGTTCGAATTTCTCAAGCAACATCGATTTCCTTGCTGACGTGTACCAGTAAGTACGAGACCTAGATGTAGGGCTCTCTGCTTATTGCCTTCAACTATCCAACATCAGTTCCAGATGTGACACATTGGCGAGTGTGTGAGAGTGGTGACCACACTGACGAGTAGAAACCAGTGAATGACTAGGCGATGGAAATACAATCGATTCTCTCTAATAGCTATTTGGAGTGACTTCTCCATTTATTTAGTTACTTATTACTTCGGAGTAATACTCACTCGATTGCATCAAAATGAACAGTGACTTGTATTACATGAAAAAGCCTGGGGAATGGAAACCACGCTGCTCAATTTTGAAATTCACTTTGAACTGATTCACTTTCACTACAATTACAGAATTCTTTCACAGTTTTTACAAAAACGCTATTGTAATGGTAGAAGACAAGCGGTTTCATGAAGGAATGTCTATTTGACTTTTCACGTTTCCATATAGCGAAATTATGTACACCTTACCTGTAAATCATCGATTGCACAGATCCTCCGTGTTGTGCTTGTTACTACTGCCTCTCTTTCTGTGTCCCTATATCTTCTTTTCCTGTCTCACTCCTACGCTGTGTCGCAACGCTAGTTCATCTGCTCTCTTTGACGTCAAGTCTATCTCTCCGCTATTTGATATTTCGTGTGACGATAAACGTCTCCTCATATACCATTAATAAATTGCATCAGTAGGACTCACCACAGTAGTAGTTGTTGTTGTTGTTGTAGAAGTATCAGTAGTAAAATTGATTACTTCAGTTCCGAGTGGAATTTCATGCTGCAGTTTTATGCAATCATAGACAATGAGAAAGCAGTTTTCGACTAACCACAATTTATTATTATTATCACACCACGGCGTACAAACAATTAACAGAATCTCGGACTGTTTTACTCTGATGAATTCTCGTAATCGACAAATTTCACTTCGGTGTTAAATGTGTGGGCTCAGGTAGTTGACAGGAGATAAAGTAAGTCAAAGATTATGTGTTTGCTAGCTATCATTGGGTAGACATGTTCGCCAAATTTCAGGAAGCTTATGTCAACTTGGAGGCGATGAAATCGAGGGACAAGCATTCAATCCGTGATTACTTCTTGTGACAGTGATTTTTCTCATGAATTCATAGCCATGAATGACGTGGTATCTAAGTTTTGTGCACTGAACACAACAATCAGTGGAAAGCCGAATTTGTTAGCTGAGTCACTCATTTTAGTCACATATTTGTTGTTGCTTAACGGCGTCATCTAGGATATTAGTTTCTCGTGATTTCTCTACTGAATATACTAAAACTGTGATCAAGATATCAATAAAGGTGTCACTGAAGAGATTTTTACAAGAGTTCATTGTCGAAAGACGTTGATCAGTCATATTCTATAAGCTTACGACAGAACAAATGTCAATGGAGTAGATCTAATTATAGTATCTGGACAGATAACAATGGAAATCTGCAAGCGATCACCTCAAGGTCTGAGTCTGAATGAGTAATCAATCCACGAAAAACGCATTTCAAGTAGGAAGGCTGTTATCATCACTGTTATCTTCAACATCACAGTCATCATCGCTGACACTTTGTGCACAAATCTAACACTAATACATGAGCCGATATACTGAAGGTAGATACTGTGAATACGTGAAATGACTCTTACTGTGTTAGTTCAACTGTCTGAGATGACCGTATGTCAGCTTGTTAACACTTATGCATTTGTGAATAACTGAAAGTGAAGTCGACACTTGTGTTGTCAAAAGACTGAAACCAGCCACCAGAGAATTGCACACATTTCGTCATCTGGTGAAACAACAACAAATGAAAATGTATACAACTTGTGCTAAACATACTGGTTTCTCATGAGCAGTAAAAGTCTAATGAATAGATTCTCGGCTGCGCCATCTCTCATATGTTGCTGCATTACGACACATCTTTAAGATTTCAAACATTCTAGAACCAGCTCAGCCTCCTATTCACCTTTTCAAGTGTAACTCTTTATATCTTCATCACAATTCCACTCACGAATTCTTAGTGATTAGACTTACAGCTTTGTATTCTGATAGTCATTCAGATGGATCTCGCCAAATTCAGTGTTTCCATAATTTGTCAACCATAGGATATCTAACCGAATCAATATATTTGCTAGTAGTAGTAGAAGTAGAAGTAGTAGTAGTAGTAGTAGTAGTAGTAGTAGTAGTAGTAGTAGTAGTAGTAGTAGTAGTAGTAGAAGTAGTAGTAGTAGTAGTAGTAGTAGTAGTAGTAGTAGTAGTAGTAGTAGTAGTAGTAGTAGTAGTAGTAGTAGTAGTAGTAGTAGTAGTAGTAGTAGTAGTAGTAGTAGTAGTAGTAGTAGTAGTAGTAGTAGTAGTAGTAGTAGTAGTAGTAGTAGTAGTAGTAGTAGTAGTAGTAGTAGTAGTAGTAGTAGTAGTAGTAGTAGTAGTAGTAGTAGTAGTAGTAGTAGAAGTAGTCTAGTACACATCAAGTCAACATTCAGGTGAGGAGGACAAATATGTCAACTCGATTGTGAACCTTTACACAGTTAGGTGACGACGACACATGTTATGCTTATTGGGCCACCATCTCCGTTGCCTAGCACTGCCAGGTTAAATAAGGTTAGGCAAGGTTAAGTCAGAACACACTCTGAATTCATCAAGATTCTGCGCCTTATTCTAAATCACGTGACGAACCATGTTTCTTGGTCTGGGGTGTACAACACTCTACAAAATAAGTGGTTGAACAATTCCAGTGACATGGCTTGGAGTGATGCTCAAATTTTACTACTACTCAGGAAGTTGAAAGCAACTCGCTCCATTTATGAATTTCGACAAAATAATGATGATCATGATGATAACAATATTAATACATGATTCATCTTAAACGTGTAATGCTTCCGCATAACACATCTACACTGTTCCGAATACAGACGTATTTGACGTATGCATATTTGTGTAATCGTTAACAGAGAGCGTTGGATCAAAATTCAGTCAATTGTCTAGACGTCAAGATTACACATTATTATCATTATTGTTCGCTTGGGTTCCTAGTGGAACATTGGGCTTCAACTGCACGTCTCCACTTGCTTATGTCTTCTCCTGTACTTTTCAGCTGCATCCATGTCAGTTCATACTGTTTCAACTCCTCTTCACACGATCTCCTCCACGTCACTCTTGCACTGACGTCCCACTCGCCGCTTCCCTTTCGGCCTGGTTCCACTCGAGCGATGGCCTGACGTGCGCGCGATTTCACCCAGTGGCCTCCTCAGCGAGTATCCAATCCATCTCCACTTTCTCCTGCATATTTGTTGGGCGATTGGTTTGTTCTTGTTTTCTTTCTTCCCATAGTTCCTTGTTGGTGATTCTTTCCGGCCCGGTCATCTGATCTTCAGTATAGAGCCAGCGAAGACAGTTGTTGATAAAGGTTTGCAGCAGGCTGTTGGAAATATTCTTTGTGACCCACGCGCCAGGCTTCTGATCCGTACAGAAGAACTGACTTGACGTTTGTATTGAAAATCCGGCCGGATTTTGTTGTTGATGCTGAGTGATGAAGATTTCCAGATTGGTTTCAGGTTGATGAATGTGTATCTCGCCTTCCCGAGTCTCGATTTGGCAGCCTCGTCCGTTCCTCCTGAAGTTGAGAGAATGCTCCCTAGATAAGTGAATGAATGAAGTAACCTCTTTCAAATCCCTCCCCTTGATGGTGATTGACGCTGGATGTTGCTGCTGTTGTAGTTGTTGTTGGTTGGTTATTTTCATCACCTCCGTTTTGTCTATGTTCACTTGGAGTCCTGTCTTCGCCGGCTGCTTCTTCGACCAGTTTGTTGGTTTTCGCTTGTAAGTCTTCGTTTTTGTGTGGCATCAAACATAAATCATCCACGCGCGAAATCCAGGTCTTCTAGGTTCTTCGCGTCCGTCCAGGATATTCCTGTCTTCTCGTTTCCCACTCACTGTCTGACGCATAATCCAGTTCACCACAATTAGAAATATCATTGGTGATAATAGACAGGCACCCTTGTCTGACTCCTGTGTTTACTCCAAACGCCGCCTCGCTGAGTTTTCCGTTGTGGATCACTTGACATGTGGCGTTGTCGTAAAGCTGTTGAATAAGGTTGATGAATATTTGGGTTCACGCCACAGTATTCGAGTAGTTTCCAAATTACTTCACCGTCAACGCTGTCGAAGGCCTTCTCGAAGTCTATAAAGTTGAGGTAGAGGTTTGATTGCCATTCAATGCTTTGTTCTGTGATGATGATGCGTAGAGTTGCAATTTGGTCAGTATGTAGTGCACATTGTACCTTTGAACTTTTGTTTAAACTGATTCACCCACGGTGATCCACGTTTTAGCTTTTGAGTTGTGAGTCTTCCATACGTTCATTGTTTCGCTCTCTTGTTGTGCTCTCTTTTTGCACACTCTCCGAGCCTACCTCCAGCAACGTCTGCAGATAAGTTGTACAGTCACTTTATTTATTAAATCTGTTATTCTGTTACGTTAAATACAACTCATACTAAGAATTCTTTCCATTGTTAGTTTTTAAACTTTGATTGAGTTAATCAGTACTTACACGTTAGGTAGAGTACTCGTAAAGTCATAAGACGGTGAAGTTTTTAGTAAGTGTGGTGATTTCGAAGACTATCTTAAGTCTAGCTTCAACACTTACAAGTACATGATTTGCCTTTCCTGAATCCAGCTTGTTCCGGGCTGGCGGATTTCTGTATCCAGTGCGTCCTTTAATCTCTCCAGGATGATGCGACTCAGGATTTTACTTGGCGTCGACAGGAGCATGATTCCTCCAAGTTCTTGCAGAGTGATGCCTAAGTCTCCCTTCTTTGATAGTTTCACGAGGTAACCTTTTCTCTACTCAGTAGGCACATTTCCATCCTTCCAGACCTTTTGCAATAATGGAGTCAGCATATCTGCTATCGTCTCTGAGTCGGCTTTCAGTGCTTCAGGGGTTATTCCACCTGGTCCAGCTGCTTTTCCAGCTTTCAGAAGCTTGATTGCATTCAAGACTTCAGCTTTCGTTGGAGCACTGATGTCAACTTGTAGTTGTGTACCTGCTGTTGTTGGTATTTCTGGACGGGTTGCAGGTGATGGTCGGTTCAAGAGTCCTTTGAAGTGATCCGCCCATTGTTTAATCTGTTTTTCTTCCTCGGTAATTGGGTTCCCTTGGCTGTCTTTCATAGGTTTCACTTGTGTTGATCTCTTCCTGGATAGAGACTTGGTTATCTGATATAATGTGATCAAGTCCATTTTGCCTGCTGCCTTCTCAGCTTCAGTGGCCAGGTTGTTGTCAATGTAGTTGAAGAGTGAACGATCAATTCGTGGTTGTTTGCTCAAACCCAACTCCTCCATATTTTTCGCGGGAGTCATCTATCCAGCAGTCATCGTCTCATCGTTCGCTGTTCAGTGGAAGATAGAAAACTATCAGAAGTATCATCGTGATTTATTGTTATAACATTTATTCTAAAACCTTGTGTGTAATAACCTTATCGTTGGTTACATATTGGCGTAAGAATAAAGGATTCTCGAGTCTCCAATCTGTCTTCTGGTTTTTACGCGTTGGTTATTACACATTGTTTCTGAAAGTCTTCCAGGGATAGCGTAAGCTCCAGCCTAGTAAGAGTTGGACATTGACAGATTTTGAGAGTTGGCTGACGGTTGTCGTAGAATTGTCTTTTGTCCTTCCTAACATTCTTCTTTACTTCTTTGTCCAGTGCTGCGTAAGTTAAACTCAGCGTCTCTTTCTCTTGCCTGTCTTTGCATTGTGTCATTTTATCTTTCATCATTCTCCTCTCATCTATTAGCTTTCAAGTGTCCATTGAGAGCCATTCGTTATCAGTCATTGCAATGACTGTGAGGTCAACTACATAGGTCAAACTAGTAGGTCGGGGGTATTCAGATTGTCAGAGCATAAGAATGTAGCTAAAGTAAGAATGGTTGACCGCGAGAAAATAAGTAATTTAGAAAAAAGCTCAGGAATTGCAATGCATGCGCTAACACACAACCACACAATAGGGTGGGATAGGGTTAAAATTCTAAAAAGTAATCTAGGTAGGTGGAGAGAGAGGTTGATTACTGAATCCTTGTTCATCGAGTCTACACCCAACACATGCAATAGGAATGACTCGTCACTCATACCTGAAATATGGAAAATACTATTACCAATCAAATCAAGTGAAAATCAAGAGAAAAACAATGGAACTATATAAATGAATTTAGGAAGTCGTGTGATATGATTATGAGCAATAAATTGTGCTCGAAACGTCATCAGTAAACATTACTGTATAACACTGTGAGACTTTATCAAAACAAAATTTACCCATAGTGGAATTACACTCTACCACAGTGCAGAAGTTTTATTCTTATATTAATGGTACCTCGGACGAATCTGTGTATCTAGCGTGTCAATTGAGTTGTACATTGCGTCAGAATTATTATTTTACCCACGCATAAGTCCACGCGGTCATATGCATTGACGACAGGTTCATAACAAATCAGCGAGGACTAAGTTGATTTCAACTGGCGACATAGATCATAGGAAATTGGCGACGGGGTTATTCACTTCACTGTCGGCATAACAATAGTGCACTTGAAGTTTCAAATTATTGCAACGTAATTGTTGTATTTTGGATTTCCAACTTATTTCGAAGCGTATATCACGAACTGGGATTGGCTGGAGGGGAACCGATGATTACTGAACAGCTCGATGTAGTCTGAGTTTGCAATGTTTCCCCAGTTTCCATCAATCAAACTGTGACCAATGGAAATGATGACTGTCAAGTTATTTGAATGCTACTCATTTTATTTCAGTGGTATAGTGTAATTTATGTGATACTAATGAACCGCAGTTGCATTTCAACCTGAAATTCACCAACGTGTAAGAAACAGATCTAGTCGAAGAGATTTATAAGCTGACGGTATGAAATGAAACAAAGGCGTGAATTTGTAACGGAGGTGTTCTGACTCCACTCATTAACTGGTCACGTGTTTGAAATGAAATTTAGAAAGTGTATATAAAAATGTATTCGTGTGTGTGACAAGGCTGTGCTCTGTAGTGGTATATCGATGAGTGCAGCTGTGATTATTGATTATATTTGTGCTAAGTGTACTAGCTTTAAGATATAGGTAAAGAAATATAATATAAGAAGGAAGTGAAGTCATATATTCCTCCGTTATGACAAGTAGAACGGAGGTCATCCTGTGTGTATTGAGTGTATATGCCAATAATTTAGGACAAATGAGCTCACCAAAATGGGATTACCGTACACCTTACTGTAATGTCAACTTTCCGCGTCCAACTCTGTTGAATACTGCATTGATTCAATGTTATCCATGGAAGTAGGTACCTCCATTTCTCATTGTTACTCCTTGTTGTTGGGAATCGAAACTACATCTGACTGGAATATGCATCTGACCTTAAAAGTGGTTGTTTCGTATTCAGGAGTCTTGAGCTAAGGGGAATTTTCAGGTTGATAGATATCATTCCGTCACTAATCACCTCGTGTCAAGTAGCATCAGGCGATGTACGAGATTCGACAAGTCAGTTTGATTCACAAGATTAGTTCACAAACCTGAAAATATTCACAGTATTCGGATGCCAGAAGCTCTAATTGATTAATATTTATTTGCGACGAAATATCAAATACCGTCTTTATAGTGTGTTTCCGCCGACTACAACATGCCTCACGTGATCACGGAAAATTGAAGAGTGACAGTTAACTGTGTAGTTAATTTTCAGGTTATTGTTTTTGAGTAAGGTTACTGCATGCAGGAATGAAAGCCAGCCCATTGACAGCTCGTGATTGTTACTAGAAGGCATAGATATATTTAAATGAAACCGTATGAAAGAAGCAGGAGCAGTTTCTATTGGGAATATAACAAGAAATTCCGCGGGCGATAAATATAAATTATCTGTCAGACAGGAGCTCTGATGCAGTTAGGCATAATACCTGCTCAACGGTTATGGGAAGAAATAAAAGTCAAGACAACGAATGGCTCTCAATGGACACTTGAAAGCTAATAGATGAGAGGAGAATGATGAAAGATAAAATGACACAATGCAAAGACAGGCAAGAGAAAGAGACGCTGAGTTTAACTTACGCAGCACTGGACAAAGAAGTAAAGAAGAATGTTAGGAAGGACAAAAGACAATTCTACGACAACCGTCAGCCAACTCTCAAAATCTGTCAATGTCCAACTCTTACTAGGCTGGAGCTTACGCTATCCCTGGAAGACTTTCAGAAACAATGTGTAATAACCAACGCGTAAAAACCAGAAGACAGATTGGAGACTCGAGAATCCTTTATTCTTACGCCAATATGTAACCAACGATAAGGTTATTACACACAAGGTTTTAGAATAAATGTTATAACAATAAATCACGATGATACTTCTGATAGTTTTCTATCTTCCACTGAACAGCGAACGATGAGACGATGACTGCTGGATAGATGACTCCCGCGAAAAATATGGAGGAGTTGGGTTTGAGCAAACAACCACGAATTGATCGTTCACTCTTCAACTACATTGACAACAACCTGGCCACTGAAGCTGAGAAGGCAGCAGGCAAAATGGACTTGATCACATTATATCAGATAACCAAGTCTCTATCCAGGAAGAGATCAACACAAGTGAAACCTATGAAAGACAGCCAAGGGAACCCAATTACCGAGGAAGAAAAACAGATTAAACAATGGGCGGATCACTTCAAAGGACTCTTGAACCGACCATCACCTGCAACCCGTCCAGAAATACCAACAACAGCAGGTACACAACTACAAGTTGACATCAGTGCTCCAACGAAAGCTGAAGTCTTGAATGCAATCAAGCTTCTGAAAGCTGGAAAAGCAGCTGGACCAGGTGGAATAACCCCTGAAGCACTGAAAGCCGACTCAGAGACGATAGCAGATATGCTGACTCCATTATTGCAAAAGGTCTGGAAGGATGGAAATGTGCCTACTGAGTAGAGAAAAGGTTACCTCGTGAAACTATCAAAGAAGGGAGACTTAGGCATCACTCTGCAAGAACTTGGAGGAATCATGCTCCTGTCGACGCCAAGTAAAATCCTGAGTCGCATCATCCTGGAGAGATTAAAGGACGCACTGGATACAGAAATCCGCCAGCCCGGAACAAGCTGGATTCAGGAAAGGCAAATCATGTACTTGTAAGTGTTGAAGCTAGACTTAAGATAGTCTTCGAAATCACCACACTTACTAAAAACTTCACCGTCTTATGACTTTACGAGTACTCTACCTAACGTGTAAGTACTGATTAACTCAATCAAAGTTTAAAAACTAACAATGGAAAGAATTCTTAGTATGAGTTGTATTTAACGTAACAGAATAACAGATTTAATAAATAAAGTGACTGTACAACTTATCTGCAGACGTTGCTGGAGGTAGGCTCGGAGAGTGTGCAAAAAGAGAGCACAACAAGAGAGCGAAACAATGAACGTATGGAAGACTCACAACTCAAAAGCTAAAACGTGGATCACCGTGGGTGAATCAGTTTAAACAAAAGTTCAAAGGTACAATGTGCACTACATACTGACCAAATTGCAACTCTACGCATCATCATCACAGAACAAAGCATTGAATGGCAATCAAACCTCTACCTCAACTTTATAGACTTCGAGAAGGCCTTCGACAGCGTTGACGGTGAAGTAATTTGGAAACTACTCGAATACTGTGGCGTGAACCCAAATATTCATCAACCTTATTCAACAGCTTTACGACAACGCCACATGTCAAGTGATCCACAACGGAAAACTCAGCGAGGCGGCGTTTGGAGTAAACACAGGAGTCAGACAAGGGTGCCTGTCTATTATCACCAATGATATTTCTAATTGTGGTGAACTGGATTATGCGTCAGACAGTGAGTGGGAAACGAGAAGACAGGAATATCCTGGACGGACGCGAAGAACCTAGAAGACCTGGATTTCGCGCGTGGATGATTTATGTTTGATGCCACACAAAAACGAAGACTTACAAGCGAAAACCAACAAACTGGTCGAAGAAGCAGCCGGCGAAGACAGGACTCCAAGTGAACATAGACAAAACGGAGGTGATGAAAATAACCAACCAACAACAACTACAACAGCAGCAACATCCAGCGTCAATCACCATCAAGGGGAGGGATTTGAAAGAGGTTACTTCATTCATTCACTTATCTAGGGAGCATTCTCTCAACTTCAGGAGGAACGGACGAGGCTGCCAAATCGAGACTCGGGAAGGCGAGATACACATTCATCAACCTGAAACCAATCTGGAAATCTTCATCACTCAGCATCAACAACAAAATCCGGCCGGATTTTCAATACAAACGTCAAGTCAGTTCTTCTGTACGGATCAGAAGCCTGGCGCGTGGGTCACAAAGAATATTTCCAACAGCCTGCTGCAAACCTTTATCAACAACTGTCTTCGCTGGCTCTATACTGAAGATCAGATGACCGGGCCGGAAAGAATCACCAACAAGGAACTATGGGAAGAAAGAAAACAAGAACAAACCAATCGCCCAACAAATATGCAGGAGAAAGTGGAGATGGATTGGATACTCGCTGAGGAGGCCACTGGGTGAAATCGCGCGCACGTCAGGCCATCGCTCGAGTGGAACCAGGCCGAAAGGGAAGCGGCGAGTGGGACGTCAGTGCAAGAGTGACGTGGAGGAGATCGTGTGAAGAGGAGTTGAAACAGTATGAACTGACATGGATGCAGCTGAAAAGTACAGGAGAAGACATAAGCAAGTGGAGACGTGCAGTTGAAGCCCAATGTTCCACTAGGAACCCAAGCGAACAATAATGATAATAATGTGTAATCTTGACGTCTAGACAATTGACTGAATTTTGATCCGACGCTCTCTGTTAACGATTACACAAATATGCATACGTCAAATACGTCTGTATTCGGAACAGTGTAGATGTGTTATGCGGAAGCATTACACGTTTAAGATGAATCATGTATTAATATTGTTATCATCATGATCATCATTATTTTGTCGAAATTCATAAATGGAGCGAGTTGCTTTCAACTTCCTGAGTAGTAGTAAAATTTGAGCATCACTCCAAGCCATGTCACTGGAATTGTTCAACCACTTATTTTGTAGAGTGTTGTACACCCCAGACCAAGAAACATGGTTCGTCACGTGATTTAGAATAAGGCGCAGAATCTTGATGAATTCAGAGTGTGTTCTGACTTAACCTTGCCTAACCTTATTTAACCTGGCAGTGCTAGGCAACGGAGATGGTGGCCCAATAAGCATAACATGTGTCGTCGTCACCTAACTGTGTAAAGGTTCACAATCGAGTTGACATATTTGTCCTCCTCACCTGAATGTTGACTTGATGTGTACTAGACTACTTCTACTACTACTACTACTACTACTACTACTACTACTACTACTACTACTACTACTACTACTACTACTACTACTACTACTACTACTACTACTACTACTACTACTACTACTACTACTACTACTACTACTACTACTACTACTACTACTACTACTACTACTACTACTACTACTACTACTACTACTACTACTACTACTACTACTACTACTACTACTACTACTACTACTACTACTACTACTACTACTACTACTACTACTACTACTACTACTACTACTACTACTACTACTACTACTACTACTACTACTACTACTACTACTACTACTACTACTACTACTACTACTACTACTACTACTACTACTACTACTACTACTACTACTACTACTACTACTACTACTACTACTACTACTACTACTACTACTACTACTACTACTACTACTACTACTACTACTACTACTACTACTACTACTACTACTACTACTACTACTACTACTACTACTACTACTACTACTACTACTTCTACTTCTACTACTACTAGCAAATATATTGATTCGGTTAGATATCCTATGGTTGACAAATTATGGAAACACTGAATTTGGCGAGATCCATCTGAATGACTATCAGAATACAAAGCTGTAAGTCTAATCACTAAGAATTCGTGAGTGGAATTGTGATGAAGATATAAAGAGTTACACTTGAAAAGGTGAATAGGAGGCTGAGCTGGTTCTAGAATGTTTGAAATCTTAAAGATGTGTCGTAATGCAGCAACATATGAGAGATGGCGCAGCCGAGAATCTATTCATTAGACTTTTACTGCTCATGAGAAACCAGTATGTTTAGCACAAGTTGTATACATTTTCATTTGTTGTTGTTTCACCAGATGACGAAATGTGTGCAATTCTCTGGTGGCTGGTTTCAGTCTTTTGACAACACAAGTGTCGACTTCACTTTCAGTTATTCACAAATGCATAAGTGTTAACAAGCTGACATACGGTCATCTCAGACAGTTGAACTAACACAGTAAGAGTCATTTCACGTATTCACAGTATCTACCTTCAGTATATCGGCTCATGTATTAGTGTTAGATTTGTGCACAAAGTGTCAGCGATGATGACTGTGATGTTGAAGATAACAGTGATGATAACAGCCTTCCTACTTGAAATGCGTTTTTCGTGGATTGATTACTCATTCAGACTCAGACCTTGTGGTGATCGCTTGCAGGTTTCCATTGTTATCTGTCCAGATACTATAATTAGATCTACTCCATTGACATTTGTTCTGTCGTAAGCTTATAGAATATGACTGATCAACGTCTTTCGACAATGAACTCTTGTAAAAATCTCTTCAGTGACACCTTTATTGATATCTTGATCACAGTTTTAGTATATTCAGTAGAGAAATCACGAGAAACTAATATCCTAGATGACGCCGTTAAGCAACAACAAATATGTGACTAAAATGAGTGACTCAGCTAACAAATTCGGCTTTCCACTGATTGTTGTGTTCAGTGCACAAAACTTAGATACCACGTCATTCATGGCTATGAATTCATGAGAAAAATCACTGTCACAAGAAGTAATCACGGATTGAATGCTTGTCCCTCGATTTCATCGCCTCCAAGTTGACATAAGCTTCCTGAAATTTGGCGAACATGTCTACCCAATGATAGCTAGCAAACACATAATCTTTGACTTACTTTATCTCCTGTCAACTACCTGAGCCCACACATTTAACACCGAAGTGAAATTTGTCGATTACGAGAATTCATCAGAGTAAAACAGTCCGAGATTCTGTTAATTGTTTGTACGCCGTGGTGTGATAATAATAATAAATTGTGGTTAGTCGAAAACTGCTTTCTCATTGTCTATGATTGCATAAAACTGCAGCATGAAATTCCACTCGGAACTGAAGTAATCAATTTTACTACTGATACTTCTACAACAACAACAACAACTACTACTGTGGTGAGTCCTACTGATGCAATTTATTAATGGTATATGAGGAGACGTTTATCGTCACACGAAATATCAAATAGCGGAGAGATAGACTTGACGTCAAAGAGAGCAGATGAACTAGCGTTGCGACACAGCGTAGGAGTGAGACAGGAAAAGAAGATATAGGGACACAGAAAGAGAGGCAGTAGTAACAAGCACAACACGGAGGATCTGTGCAATCGATGATTTACAGGTAAGGTGTACATAATTTCGCTATATGGAAACGTGAAAAGTCAAATAGACATTCCTTCATGAAACCGCTTGTCTTCTACCATTACAATAGCGTTTTTGTAAAAACTGTGAAAGAATTCTGTAATTGTAGTGAAAGTGAATCAGTTCAAAGTGAATTTCAAAATTGAGCAGCGTGGTTTCCATTCCCCAGGCTTTTTCATGTAATACAAGTCACTGTTCATTTTGATGCAATCGAGTGAGTATTACTCCGAAGTAATAAGTAACTAAATAAATGGAGAAGTCACTCCAAATAGCTATTAGAGAGAATCGATTGTATTTCCATCGCCTAGTCATTCACTGGTTTCTACTCGTCAGTGTGGTCACCACTCTCACACACTCGCCAATGTGTCACATCTGGAACTGATGTTGGATAGTTGAAGGCAATAAGCAGAGAGCCCTACATCTAGGTCTCGTACTTACTGGTACACGTCAGCAAGGAAATCGATGTTGCTTGAGAAATTCGAACTCAGATTATAATGTAGTGCAGTCAGAGACGTTACCACTGAGCTGTTTACGCCCTTTAGTAATTATCCGTTACACCAGTTTCAGACAGTCAACTTACGAGTGTCTTCTGCATACCCTTCAACGAACAAATGAGTGTTATCCAGCTTCAAATGAGTTCAGGAGTTCGATTTTCATTGGAAAAGTTTTTTGTTCTGTTTTCTGAAGACAGTAAAAATTTTGAGTCGCACAACTCACACCACGCATTATACCCCTGAGAAATTTTGTTGTTATAACTATTTCAGTCAGTGTCAATGATAAGTGCGTTTAAATACATTATCTAAAGTATTGGTTTATTGCTTTAGAAGATGAGATATTTTTATTCGCAAACATGGTGATCACATGAATATGAAACTGATGTATTCTCAGAATATATATTTGTCAAACAACGAATCAGAGGATAACGAAAACATACGTTTTTGTATTACATTACTACACATCCGTTGCGAAGGTTTTGATTACGTTATACGGATGTGTCAGCATATATGAAACCAGCGAGATAGCAGCAGGTGAGCTTCCGAAAATACACAATATGATAGTGTTAATTAATAAATACAACCATCTCTTCGCTGGAGATGGGGACCCATACGGTCATTGCGATAATGTGAATCATAAAATTCCGTTAAGTGGTCCGAAATTAACGTCATTTACAACGCGAATAGTCCCATGTCATTTGGAAGGCGAAGTTGAGCGACAAGTACGAGAGATGTTAAAAGATGATATTATTGAAGAAGCTGATAGTCCGTACAACTCTCCAGTGCTATTAGTAAAAATAGCGAATGGGAAGTATAGATTCTGCGGTGATTTTCGACAGTTAAACAGTATGTCAGAGTTGAAACCGTGTGCCATGTCAGCAGTAGTGAAAAAACAAGAACAAAGACTGACTCAACAACCAATCACAGCAGACTCTGTGTAGGCGGATACAATTAGCAAATAGATGATCTGACTTTCAAGAAATAGTTATAAAGTGACGAAAGAATAACTTCCAGCAAAAAAAAACCAATCAGAAGACTGTGTTGTCCGCTAACATTATCTGTAATAATCTACATGAAAATCTAGCAATGTCAGTTGATTTCCTTAATGAATGATCTGTTGCATGACTCTTGCCTTCTGTCGTTACATTGTAAGTTAACAAACATGGTGTTGAATATTTGCGCTGCATAGGATTGTATTTCAGAAAAACAGTACACTTGGTACACGTTCGTCTCAGTTTTGCTCTGGAATACAGGACATAATACAGACTGATTTGTATTCCGTGATGGTTTCACGTTTCTTACATTCTGATAGAAGTGGAAGACAAACATGAAGTCTGTTCGCCATACTTTTGAAAACTGCATGGATTAAGGAAGTAAGCTTAAATGGAGTAATTTCGCTATGTACAAAATCTAGTATAAAATTAGGATGAATAATGGAATAAAAATTGATGAGAATTTTGGTATTTTGTACGCTAATATGGGTTTAATATATTCTTATTTTTGCATGCTCGTTAATATATCAAAATCACATTCGGATACTCGAAAGTTTGGCATATAGCTCAGAATTATTGAGATTTCATAGGCTAGTGTTATCTTGACTACCTCTGTAGCCACCTGGTATTTCTGAACTAGAAGGATGCTGGTCACAAGCAATTTATATTCCAACCAGATCATTTGGTGCAGACAACAGTCTTATTGACTGGCAATATATCTCCACTTTACCTATCAACTCAATATCACTCATATCGTTGAGTCTATCACATAAGTAATTTCCTACTCTTCTTGTATTTGTTTCACAAAACTGCAGAGTGAAACATGGAGCAGCATTTCAAAGTACAGTTGTCCTTTGAAAGACGGCTATCTTACTTGCCAGAATCAGAAGTGGTACGAGTCGATAAGTTATAAAATCAATGAAATCTCACCAACAACTTCATTATGATTGATGCAACATTTCATTTAAATGATCAATGGATTCGACTAATGTTTGCAACGTGAAATTACCATACCCAGCTACACCTCATTATCCTCTAATTACCTGCTCTGAACTGTCATACTATACTGCGCAAATGAGAAAAGCGTGCCAAACACACTCTCACCATAACTCGTGAAAACATCGGATATTTAGTAACTTTAACATTACAGAATTACAATTTCTGAATACTGTAGGTCAATTTATTGTTGACTGACAAGAGTATGAATCTCACAAGAGAGATCTACTAGTGATGACCTCTATAGATGCGAATCAGTGTCCCAGGAACTGATTATAGTTCTTCGTTGTCTATCCAGCATTCAAGTAAACTATTTTAAACCACCTTTTTAATTTTTTAGATAAAACAACATCTTACAGAGGTTTAAAAAAGCATCCAGGTTATTCAGTAGACGCAGAATATTTCTAGCGCGCTGAGGGCGAAATCGGTTATATTTGATTTGCTACTTCCCTCATTCGAGTGCCATACCATATAACAGTCCACACATCGAGCTCTAATTTAATCAGAAAGATGAATGGTTGATCGTGTTTACTCCTCAACTTGCTTGAGACTTTCAATCGATCCTAATAGAATAGTTCTTGAAAAAATCGTTACACGGACACAAAAACCTAACCAGCTTGAGTTGTACCTAAGATATCTGATAACTTATAAAAAAAGATGTTTCTATAATGAAGAAGTTTGCTTCGCTTTCCCATAAAACTGTGAGACATAGTCACTTCAAGTCGGATATATGCTACTGTGCCATTCTCAGCTGAGATTAGATGGGGGTAACGCGGAGAGTAATGTCATTGTGGGAAGTATTGATGTTTGGAGATAAATGTTAGTGAACCAAAGAGGTTCGTATCTTTGCCATTAATACAATTGTATTCTTGTTTAAAATGTCCAGAGGTTGAGGAATATTGATGATAATAATATTTGTACAATTTAATGTTATTGAAATATATAAAGCTGATTTATTTGGAATGCATAATAACGATAAATTGCTTACACTCTAACTTTTCTATATAACAGTGTGGATTTCTAATTATCATATTAATTTTCACACTTCTCAGAAATGAGGATGTTCAGATCTTGGAATGGTAAGTCTTGATGAAGTATTTTGAAAATGTATAACAGTAATCCATAATTTTTCAAAGTGTTCATTATAAATCTTCTGACTTCTGTTTAGTGCATAATTAATTACTTAATGAAATATCAGCAAGTCTATCAAGTTGATGTAAGATTTTCATTGTCATCACAGTCATGCACAGTCAAAAACTACATTCTGACAACATTGAAACATCATTCAACGTGATAAAATTTGTGGTACTATTGGCACAATAATAGGTTACATCAAAAATACTAAAACACCTCAACAGTGGCGTCAGACGACTATTCAGTTCCAGTGTTTCTCAGATGCAAAATTGATTAATCAAATGTAACTGTGAAATACTGGAGAGTCAACAAGATTCTTCTCAACGAAGTGGGATCGAAATTCTGTTCTCCAGAATCAAAGAGATCAGGACACCTTCTCTGTGGATAGTTCAAGGGAAGGCATCCACTGCATGGCTCAACCTTCAATTTACTCGAACAAAATCGCACAGTAAAATAATACTTTACTGTCAACAGTTCTGCGCTGCACAACAACTATGTGAATCATTTGAAATAGGAGTCGACCAGAAGAAAATAAAAATTGTAAGGATTAAGTCAAAAGAAAACGCGAAAATTGAAGAATGATGATACACTGGTAAGGAGGGAGTAAGGGATGATAATTATAAGATTAGTTGAGATACTGAAGTAAATATAAAAATTGTAAGTGGATCGATTGTTCATGAGGAATGTTCAGACTTACCATTCTGCTAGAATAAGTGTGCATGGAATGAATTATACATTAGTCAGGACGAAATTCACATCACTTGCGACAGCATCTTTGATGGAACTTGGAAGAAATGTGGTGTCAGATGGTTTAACACACATCTTCATTTACACTCATTCTTTCTGTCTTTGTTACGATGTATAAGAGAATGAAGAAGAAAGATTTATTCAATGAAGAGTGATAGTCATCATTTGGAGTTTGAGAGATTTCAACACCTGATAACCTCTATACATAATGTAGTTCAATAAAGATTAGTTGTAAGCTACAGAATCCATAGTTTATCGACTAGTGCAATGTGGACTGAAATATCTGTAGAAATAAGTACTTTGAAATGTCGATTTCGAAGTTCCGAAAAATCTCTACTGCTAGACACGGTGGTTTAAATTAGTATCCACAGTATTCATTCATTCACACGAATTTTATCTTTATTATATGCAATCATCCTTTTTAAATCAGTGTCCTTACTTTAACAATACTGACAGTGAACGGATACTTACTTTTTACTCAAAGCTACCGAAATTCTTTCATCAGTTTGATTAGACAACGAAGTTGATGATTTCACTTTATGTATGTCTTGATTCCTGTGAAATATAACCATGATATAGAATTTCACAAGCAGCTGTACTATGTCTTTGTTCTCATTATCAGTTGACATATGGCAGAGTACAATTAGGTACGACCATTATTAGGCATGGAAAGTTAGATAATTATTCCTTTCAACGAAATCATTATTACTTATTTGGGTTCTGGGCAGAACATGGGGCTTCAGCAGTACACCTCCATTTTCCATGTTCTCTGCAGTCCTCTATAGCTGGCTTCGAGCCTGCCCACCAACTCTCATCTCCTCCTTCTGACACCATCTCCTCTATGTCACTCGAGGACTCACAACTCTCCATTTTCCTTTCGGGTTCTACTCAAGGGTCTGGCGAACGATGTCATTCAACAGCCTCGTCAGCATGTGTTCATTTCGTCTTCATTACTCTCGACACATCTGTTGCTGGTTGGTTAAGCTCGCATAGTTCCTTGTTGCTTATTCTGACTGGTCGGCCATTTAGTCTTCAGCTGTTGATGAAAGTCTTCAACCTTTTGGAAATGTTTCTGGTTACTCGCCAAGTCTCAGAACCATAACACCACTGACTGTATACGAAATATTATGGATGTATACTCTACACTACGTCAATAACAGAAAATGCATATTGTCTGACAGTAGCCGAAAGATGCTAATCTCCAAGACACACTTGGATATCCACTGCAGAAAAACAAACATCTAAAGAGAAAATTTGGACTGTGAAATTTGAGGAAGTTCCATCAAGGTTCTGTTTGAATCAATGAGAACCAACAATGAATACTCAGTGCACATATGTGAACAGAGATCAAACATTCAGGGAAATTTTATGATGATCGTTCACATTACTCCTAACGTCTAGTGAATACTGATGTCTAAGGCACTACACTGTCGTTATCAATACATGGAAGCTCACCTTAGACAAGGATAAATGATAGTGAAAAAGCACAAAATCCAGCAGAGCCAAGTGATGGGTGAGAAGAAGTAGTACTTGTCCGCTTGGATAAATGACGGCAGACCCATGTTTCGCATTGTGTGATTTATACCGATAGGTTATCCAGTATTGTTTGCGATGAAAATATATTCCTAAAACCGACATATTCCAGAGACAAAATCAGTGGTGTGGAGTGAAAATTCTGACCAAAATTTAAACATAAGTTGTGAATTACTCCTGCAATGCATGAAAATCCTAGACTTTCTGGTCTAATTGTTTTCCATTCATACATTTTTTCAATGGTGCATGAAAACAACGTACCACTGAGCCTAATGGTAGATATGCTGAATAAGGTGTACAATCTTTGTTGTTTTTGTGGTTACCAGTAATATGAAGGTGGTAGATGAGTCAATTGTAGGCATGAAATAAGGTGAGTTCATTCGCCTTTATTGATCAGATTGTGTGAGACGGAATACCAGTATAACAAAATACTTTTGATTCAGGGAATTGGCAAATAAGGTGGAATGTTTGAAACCAAATCACTTGGTATTACGGATTTTCGGATGTTTGGACATTGAGGCAATTTTGACCTATATTTCGTTACAAGTCAACTTCGGTCGGAGAAGCACTGAAAAACGAGGAACAGACTCTAGCAGGGCTATGGGAATTCACTGTGGAAGAGTGCGGGACTTGGACGAAGTAGCCGTCCAATACTCTTCCGTTACCAGTGATTATCTAACAGTTGTCGGTTTGTGATGAAACATATTCGGAAATTTCACACTTGTCTATGAGTGAAACCATGTAATATATGCAAAATTGCTTTCGGCTATATTAGTAAACAAAACCAGGTAAGGCTATGGGCGAAATTATTGACGACAATTTGTAGATTTTAGGAAATCCTTATCTATATCAGATAAATTTTGTAAGATGACGTCTCACTGTTTGAGTAATGAAGTTCTGTCTGTTTTGACTGACGTTTTCTGAAACAATCAGACCATCTGATAAGTTTCAATGAGGCATTCAGAAGACAAGTATGCAATGGCGCAGTAGTGAGTATTTTGATTGGACTAATCGTTGGTACGTTCAAAACACCTTGTTTCAACTAAAATAAGCTTCACACTAATCATTGAATATTGCTGACATTCTTCTTCAGTATACTAACTTAAAACAGTGTTTTCTCAGGTAGAAATATTAGAAAATCGATTTTGACCTTCTTCATGGGGTTGGTACTACCCTTCTGATTATAAAACTGATCGCATCATTTCAATCCGAATCGCGCTTTTACACAAACTCAGCACAAAATGAGAAACCAGATGATAATCCTCGCCATCTTCCGCTGATATTTATTGGAGGTCATCAGAGTTCAGGTGAGTGGTTTGGTTGTACCAATATGTGTTATTTCTTATGACTTTATGAGATGTTTCAGGCATGTCAGTAGATCTCCTGTAGATTATTGGAGACGTGGCGAAATACGGTTTAAACGTATTATACATTATTGACCTGACATTATTTGAAAGATAGTCAGTGCAAATGATGAATTATTTTGTGAGGAATTGAATTCCTTCAATCTAAATCCCATTGTGAGTATGAGAATCTTAACTTACATTACCCTAATTGTTTGATTGGAGATACTGTGTCGTTTGTGAGGATTCCGGACTAACTTCAATGTAAACTAACCAACAACTGTTACATAAACGCTCAAAACCATACATCACCAGTTGGCTGCTTCGTCGTATTTTTGGTCTCTTGGTGAGTGTGCACCGACGACTCCATCGAAGTTTCCGATCCACTGGCTACATTGTCACTTGGCCCACGTCACAATCTGAAGTTGTTGGACTCGACTCCTGGTAGTGTCTTAACTGTGCACTGTAAAGAGTCACAAATTAGCACAAAACACCCGTGCAGTGCTCTCTTGTTTCCAATGACACTCTAACTCATATTGGTTCATGATGAAATCAACAGTGAAATTATTTGTGGCTTCATCGATTCATTTATTGTGAGAGGTTTGGATTCTACTGAATATCCCCTTGAACAAAGTATTATGCAGCCACCAAATGTTGCATTCACATACTGTGTGGTAGGACAGTCCAAACGAACAGTCAGATTGCTTAGACATGTGATCTGGTGCATCTTTCACTCATATGCTACAACAGTTGAAAATCAACCCATTTAACTTAAACTGGTAGTGTCCAGCCTATTTGTTCTTGAATCGCTCACTGGTTACAATGTATCACTGTTTCATCATTCCTAAAGGTTGTTATTGTTACTTAGATTGAAAAGGTTTATCAAATTAGTTCAGCCTCAACTCTGAAATCATTTTCATTTCTATATCATGACATTAATTTGAAACAGAACAAAACTGTTTCACTGTCAAATTATGAAGTACATGATTGTCAGGTATACACCAGGTTGAACTTTTCTTCCAGCAAAGACAGTGAGCGTCGACTACAGCATGAGACAGTCCTTGGAAAAATGACAGTCATCATATTCTGAATATTATTTGCCTCAGATAGTTTATGCTCACTAAGCTCAAGTATTTCAGTCATCTTTGATAATGTTGATGAGATAGTAAAATCACACCATACATTTGAAGATACATAAAATGGGAAATTCACACCACTGAGAATTTTAAATCAAAGAAAATATGACAGCAACGCAGTCAGTGGAATACTTCTAAAGAACTGAAATCTACTACAATTGGAGAACCCAAAAATATATAACGATTTATTGTCTTGCTACAAGAAAGGGAATTGTTGTACGTTCTGAAAAATATACTGAGGTGAAAGGTCAGTTTAAAGTCAGTCTCTCCAAGGTGAAAACAAATAGGACTTCGCTCTAGATTTGTACAACTTTTCACTAAATTTATTAGCTCAGAAAAGGAAGAGAAGACACACATCGAGATCGTTGCAGGACAGTAATAACAAAAAGAACAACAGTTTTATTCTGGACAACATATTACCAAATAATTCAGTGCATTTACATTGCGGAATATCTACTCATCGGACATTATCTTCAAGTAGGATAGTATTCATCAGTAGATAGTGTGATGTTGTGTCATTCTATCTGATGCAATATTAGATTCCCTACGATACTTCCTCTCATTCCCTCTGAGAAGAGCACCTCACTACGTTGAGAGCACAGTAAAAATAGGGGTGAGTTCATTTAGAGGTCGAAAACCATAATTAGATAAATAAACTCTCAGAAATGAAGAAGAGTTCATGCATTATACTGATTGGAGACTTTGATAGACCAATGATTCAAGCAGGCCACCTAAAATACTAACAACCTTAGCTGTCGCATCATCATCCATCACCGTCATTAGTTGACTGATTTTACACTGTTTTCCTCAGAAACTACCATCCGTCTCTCACCATTTTCATTCTTCCTTTGTTGATCATGATGACTACTAGGTACCGGTTTATTGCGCATCCTTATGGATATTCATCCATTGGTACGATGTGGGCCAGAGCCGATTGTAACCAGAGAAATTATTGCGTACAGATTATCAAAAAATCGACGACGTGACATGCTTCTCCAATCTGGAATATCTCAGGATGTATTAGACGACGCAGTGGCTGGTTTCATCGTGTCAATTTTAAAGAATATGGGACCTCCTGCTGAAAGACTATGTCACAAAGATCCTGGATCGTATTTTTACCTAAAGTATTTAGGTGATTTATTTCAGAATGCAAAATTTATTCACATTGTACGTGATGGCAGAGCAGCTATAGCGTCTACGATAGCGTAAGTTAAATCATAAAATTTGATGTAGTATGCAAACCAGAGTTGGGAAATTAGTAGCCAGCCTGTGGTTTCCAATTCATTTGCTAGATGGTTACATGTTCACCCACTGAATGGATAATCTTAGGCTAGAGGTCTTCAAGATGCATGGATGCGCACTACTGAAAAGTAGGAAACTAAGACGAACCACGTATTCAGCACTCCTGGGCTCCTAAAAACTGATGAAATGTATAACAAATGCCTAGTTTCATCATAATGCACCACACTAATTTTCGATCGATTACAACTTATACTGAGAGATCATTCAACGTCAATGTCAATCTGACTATCCTCAACTGCTGATTGCTTGATTTCAAGGGCATTTTCGTCGTCACCGGCTCTGTGAGTAATGCGACACTAGTGATTTGCTGCATTTTCCGGTGCTTTATGTCTAGCAAATAAATTGTCAGGTAAACAGTTTACGCAGGATTTCACATTTCGTAACATTTGTGAGCAAGTTTATGCTGGAGATAATGAACATGGATACTTATTCAAATGTAGTGATCAGTTTACACGTTAACTCCCAAGCTAAAAAGGAGGCAGTACTGTATACCTTGACGTGGTAAGTACACTTATGTCAAATCACATCTCAATTCTGATCAGAGTCACGGTAAATAGTTTCGAAACGGAAGGAAACGAGTATTCACATGATGCTTGAATTCCGGTGATTTCACGGATACTTCTGAGTAGTTTTCAGACTTCCGGTATAAACAGCAGTAATTCAGAAATTCAGAGAAAGTTGTTTACTCCACAAAAGAAGCAGTATGCATGAAAACCAATATGGTTCCCTAGAATTGTTTATACACAAGTGATAAATCTTAATTTTTACTCCATTTGATTTTAGTCGTAAAATAAATCCACAGTACCGTTCAAACAATATCACACGAGCGCTCAAGTATTGGGAAGCTTTTACTTCACATATAATTAATGACTGTGAATATATTGGAAGGAATCGATGTTTAACTATTCGTTATGAATGTCTTGTTTTAAATCCAAAAGATGAAATTTCAAAACTACTCAGTGAGTGTGTACTTTACACTGTTGTGTTGAAAGCACTTGATAATTCAATGTTATGCACCAGTTTTGTGATGTTGTAATATTGGATTCTGATGGGAATCCAGATGTTAAGGTGTTTTGCGAAACTCTCTTCATATACCCCTGAAATCCAAATTACATATTTTTAAGGAAGCTGAGGTGGTCCTCTAAAGTCTGCAAACATTTCTTCCCCTGGCCATGTCAACTGTTTGTGAATAAGTCTTAAGTTAACCTGCCAGGTGGTGGTTGTGTCTAATCCAGTAAGCATCTAAACTATTCTGTTTAAATCATGTGTCAGTTATTTCAATCACCAGGTACTTCGTTATCCCTTTTGTGTATGTCAGCATGTTATCACATTCGCAGCCTATCCAGCGATCTGCGAATTGTAGCACAGATATTTGAATGATAAATAGAGGCGAATAAATCCTCAGTTGTCAACTAGACTAACTCAGACAATCATCGTTGATAAACTCTCATTTATATATGAGGGCTAATTTTTGAATTTGGCAGGATGTCTTGAACCTAGGTTTCGTGTCTACTGGCACCCATCAGCTAGGTGTATCTGCAACGCCGAAGGAATTCACTCCTCCTTCGAGATCCGAATCCACCTAATCAGTAATTTTGTCGGATATTATTTGACTGACGATTGAAGTTGTGGAGAGACAACTCAGACATACTCTTTCTGTGAATCAACATTACTCACTAACTTCGATTGTATTGTCCATCAGTTTGTCTACCTATGGTATTTTTGACTGATATTTTTCAAAATGTTACACTCACTCTACTATCTAATCGTCAAGGAATAGTTTTGCTTTGCATATATTTACATAATAATACGATTAAACTGCTTACTACGTTCTGAAATCATAAACTGTATTGAAGATGACCTTAAATTGGCAGAAGATAACTTTTATTCAATACAAAGTTGAAATTAGTGTTGTATGTGTAATTAAGTAGGTAAGTAACTCAAACATTGAATAAATCACTTTGTCTGCCCCAAATAATTATTTTGTATAACATATTTGGTGTTACTAATTACGTATCAGTTGCTTGCTTGAACTAAAATATGTGCGTATACGAACTCAGGAAAACACTGAATTGAACACTTCAAAAGACTTCTCAATCGACCGCCACTTACAACGCGCTCAATAATACCAACAGAGGAATCAGAACTACCAGTGGACATTAACCCTCCGACGAAAACAGAAATTCTGAAGGCGATAAAATTTCTAAAACCTGGAAAAGCAGCAGAGTCAGACAGAATCTCGGCAGAAGCATTGAAAATGGATCCAGAGACATCAGCGGAGTTGATGACACCTCTACTGAAAAAGGTTTGGAAAGAGGGCAAAGTACCTGCTGATTGGAGGAAAGGCTACTTATTCAAACTTCCGAAGGAAGGATACATAAGTCACATGCGAGAACTGGCGTGGCATTATGCTCCTGTCTATGTCAAGCAAACTGCTAAGCCGCATCATTTTGGAGAGAATCAAACAAGCTTTGGATAAAAAACTTCGCCTGGAACAGGCTGGATTCAGGAGAAACAAGTCATGCATCGATCAAATCACAAAACTGTGGATCATTATTTAACAGAGCTTGGAGTGGCAGTCAGCCCTCTCCCTAACTCAACTTCATCGCCTTTGGAAAGGGTTTCGACAGCGTTGATCGAGAGGCGATTTGGAAAGTACTTGGCTATTACAGGGTGCCACCAACAGTTATGAACTTCATCCAACACTTGTACGATCTCTGTGTACGCAAAACGTTCTTTCAACCTCTCCAACTGTCATGGTTTTAATGCCTCTATGCTAAAGTATGGTAGTCTCTAACTATATTTTAGCTCACCTAGTTTTCGTTTCCTGTATTCACTTTGTATACTCTTCCTTTTCTCCAATGATATTCCTGGTAGCGGTAGACTGGATAATGCGACAGAGAGACAGTTGGCTGGGTAACGAGGAGACAGGCATAAAATGGACCCACACAAAATACTTGGAGGATCTGGACTTCACCGATGGTATATGTATGATTTCCCACAAAATGGAAGATATGCAAGTGAAAAGCAACAAGTCGACAAAGGAAGAAGCGTCAAAGTTGGACCTTCAGGTGGACATAGAGAAAACAGAGCTGATGAAGATTATCGACCAACAGTAACAGCAACAACAACAGACAACAATCAGGATAAATGGGAGAAACTGAATCTAAAAGGAGCAACTCCCTTCAACTACCTACCTACCTGCCTGAGAAACATCGTTTCAACTACAGGCGGACGGAACTGATGGGGATATCAAAGCGTGGATTATGAAAGCAGGGAAAACTTTCATTTCTCTCAAGTCTGTGTGGAGATCAATAGGACTGACTCAGCATGAAAATGAAAAATAAGATCCGACTTTCAACTCCGAAGTGAAGTCAGTGCTACTATACGGATCAGAGACATGACGCCGCGTTACAAAGGGTACTTCGAACAGACTACAAGCTTTCATCGACAGCTGTCTTCGCTCAGTACTACACAAGATCAGATGGCCGGCCAGAAAATATCAGCAACAGGAAGGGATCTTCGGGAATGAACGAACCAACTCAGCAAGAACTGATTGTGGAACAAATAACCAGGAAGAAATGGCTGTGTATTGGCTTGGCCACACTCTAAGAAGACAAACCAGCAGGTTAGTGACATCACACACCAGGCCATCGCCCAAGTGTAACCCAAATGTGGAGTGGCGAGTTGGTCGTCAGTGTGAAGGTGGGGTGACATGGAGAAGTTTATGCGAAGAAGAGATGAAAGCATGTGGGTAGACGTGGAAGGAGGTGAAAAGTTTGCAGAGAACCGAACGAAGTGGAGACGATCGGCTGAAACCCTATGTTCCTATAGGAATCAAAGGAAACAATAATAATAATAATAATAATAATAATAATAATATGAACTCAGAAAGGATTATCTGCCACCAAGATGAAATTCATGTACTTTATGGGGTATGAAGCCGAATTGCTTAAAGACGAAATCAGCGACTTAGAGAGTGATAGTAGGGCTAATCCTTAAAATACTGTCGTTGAATGAACGTCACTAGAATAAAATTAAAAACGAAGTATTTCTGATGTAGTAGGTCACATATACTTGCAGAAAATCATGGGAGTGGAGTTTTGTACATTTGGATATGAAGTCTACTGCCTAAGTGTGACTATAAATCAGTATATACTACCACAAACCAGGAAAATTCGCTCATTAGAACTGATAAATTTAGGAGCATCTTTTATCACAACTCGACTTTGACAGTGGATGATGAAGTTTAAGATGTCGAATCAAACATATGTCATATAACGACAAATAATTCTTAAAACTCAAGGTCAGATCTGCAGGTCACACATAATTTACCTGCATTTCGTACTCGATTGGTATACATTGAGCAACACATAATAAGACATCATCACAGTCACATCCACTCAGAAACCCTTTCACATGCTCATGAAGTGTATAAGAAAATCTTTCATTGTCAAAGAAATATTCAGTTCTCCACTGCTCGAATACTTATCCATAGTTCAGATGTCCATGTTTCTGATACTTGAGAAACTACTAATTGCACATTGCATCACCATACTCTACTAACTTAGATAAGATACATAATCGAATTCCAGTTTTTCTAGCTCGCTTATTCACCACTACACAAGATTCTGGGTAATCATATGGCACAAATGACCTCCGAACATGAGGTCTAGTCCACATATCTGCAGACTGTTGCTGATTTAATCGACTAAATATGAGTTTTCTGTTTCCTGTAAAATACAATGTGTATGTTGTCTCCTATTTTAGAATTCCTTGATCTTCCATGGGACGACCGACTTCTGCAACATGAAAAATACATTCATAATATTTCTATGTTGAACAAGTAAGTCCCGTACATGTATCACATCAGTGATTGGTGATAATAGTAATAGTGACTGTGGTGAATGTACTTCTTCTAGCTAAACTAATTGGTCGATGAGGCTACACAATGCAACGTGACTAAAAGATGACTAGATAAAGAAGTGAAATCATCGACTTATTTGGCAAAACATCCTCGTAAAATCTTAAGGTTAAACTGTTGATAAGCTGAACTATTTGCGTGAATTAGAATCGAATCAACTTTCTGAAGTATAGCCATTCATACTAGTCATCATGTTTTCTCCTTTTCTTCGATATCCCAACTTGGTAAACCTACTCCATATGAAGACATTTTGCTGCCTAACTGATTTCAAATAGTAGACGCTTCGTAATCAACCGTCATTGGTTTCTGTTATAAACACGTCAGTGAAACCACGATAGGTCCGTCGTCCTTCTTCTAGCCAGAGGAAATAAACAACAATTCAAATGATTTGTTCTGACAAGGGTCCACGTGTATTTACGATCGACTGCAAGATGGGGGTAAGCAGATGGTCATTTACTCTCAGACAACAATAGGTAAACGAAAACACAATTAGCTGGGTCATAAGTCATTCAATTTTGAAGGTTACTTTGATATTATCACCTGATCACTGATCCTGCAAAATGCTGACTTAATACTTCGCTGAGCTGATTACTGATGAATTTAACTGTACTCATTTCGACGTTCTCTGCTCTGCTCATTGAAAAATTGGCTAACCAATATTAGAGATAGTGTAAGGAAATACCTTATTCATACCCTGCTCCACATATTGTAATATGTCATCTGGGGGAAATATTTCAATCGCTCTATAAGTATGTGATGGAACTCGACGTTAAATGTCGAGTGATTAACGACTCATTTCTCTTTTATACAATCAATTCAAAGATAATTCCTAACATCGGAATTCAAAGTGTTTTGAAGCACGAGTTGTGGAACGGATTCACTCTTAATATCTGATTTATTTACTTGTTCACTGGTACAGTCCACAGAGAAATTGGTTGAAGAACTACGGTGGCTTCCTTGAATTCATTATGTGGAAGTGATTTTATGGTGAGATTAGAAGTGGGAAACTATGGTAGACAAAATAAGTGTAATGAAGGAAATAATTAAATAAAGGTCACTGAGACTTCTTAGTATCTGTGAGATTATGAGTGGTGAATTCATTTGTGTCATTATGGATGGTTTTGAACCTCTTCACAAAGATTCTTTAACTCATTATTCTCAGGATCTCAAAGACTTCTGTTAAACTATCTAAAGTTTCCCATGTAACTCAAACTAATTGGTAAACGCTATGTATCGGCTTAAACACTCCTGACTACTTTTCAATCTAATCCTAATTCAGATCAAATTGTCCATCTTAATCAATGTTCACTCATTCACTTTACTTGGTTTTCAAATATTTCGTCATAATGAACTACTTGCATCCAGATTCAGAGATTGGCAACCTATTCTCTCCCATTTTAACTAGTGTCCACTCATATCCGCCAATAGCATATTTCTCAAAGTTCTCTTTAAGCAAATATCATGGAAATTACCCAGCCTACTGAACTTCAAGTCTAGAAAGAATTTACACAAGTTGGATTCTTTCTGAATATTTTAGAGTCGAAAATGATGCTGGTCATCGACTGTAGTCAGAAAGATAAAAATGTAGTTTAACGGCTCAATTTCCCTTTGAACATTAAACAGGTCGACTTACATTTAAAATTAATGCTCTCTGTTCAGTACTGTTAGAAATAAGAGTAGTTTTAAACACTGATTTCTCATACATTTTCAAAACTTATAAGTTATATGAGTGGAACACGAGGCACATTGAAACAAATCTTGACAATAACAGTGTAAACTGATTTCCGATCTCCAGTGTCCTTAGCCCTTCAAGGTTTATAAAGGAAAGTGAAGCGATTCTGAGTAGTTCTGTTATCATTATTGAATTTTATTGCATTTAAATAAATATCCTACCGCATTATAAGGAAGACAATGAACCTACTATTTTAACAAAGCACGCCAAACTATAAAAGTGCTTTAGGCAAGTAATCCATCAGACTCCTGAAGTAATTTAGAGCTCAAATACAATATCTACTTTGGTCTGCCATTTCCTATTCAAAGAAATCTTGTCAAAATCGTAAAAAGAAAGTGGTTTTCCATCGTACTATTCTGATAGTTTACTGAGCTTTGTATTCCCTGTTTGACTAATCTCTGTTGTCTCGGGAGTATAATTGTTCCTGATTTCTCTGAAGCCCCGAGTGTTCCATTCAAATAGTACTGTTATGTTACCTTGATCAAATGCATGCCAGTAGTTGTTCAGTTTTAAAGTCACTCAAATAATGGCGACTGAAAAATCAATGGAAATTTTAAACTAAACGAAGAAAATTGTTTCTTGTAAAACGACATCCTGGACTGTAGATGCTTTCCATCGTGGTATTTCACATTTAATGGTGGGAATAAAACGGCGTGTTATCGCATAGTTTGATACCTACTGAGCATTCCTTTAACTGAAAAATGAAGGTAGAAATGCTCTATACTGAAGCAAAGAAGTAAATATTCATCTGGCTAAAAATTCTGAATTTATCTGCCGAAGGTTAAAATGCGAGAAAGGCATACCTGGTTTTCTCTTACTGTGTGTTTCTTCAAGTAAAAAGAAGATGAATGATGCTCATTGAATAACACAAAATCCCTGAACTACATACGTATTCAAAGCACTGATTGGATATTGTGAAATCACATTATGATCCATGTTTAATCAAGGTAGACATAGTACACTAGGTGAAAACAAGTCAGCTGAAATTGATTTCAACTCTTCCAGAGGTGAACACAACTGTGAAACGGAAACCCTCTGTTTAGAGTACCCTCGTATGGCTGGTAAGCATTACAGTTTGATGTGAATAGTTAGTAGCTACTTAAATCAATCAGTGGGATATATTCGACTGCATTATTATGACTAAAAATTGTCTTTCTTGATTTAAAGTCAAATCAATTTATTTCTCAGGAACTTGCTTCCCTACTCCAGAATAAATTGATGTTTCATATTTACACTAACTTTCTATTAATGGCACTGGAACAACTTGAAAACGGTGTGGAGCCAAACCTGCATAGAAATTCTAGGCAGAAAAAAGAGACAGGACAAACAGTGGCTCACTATGGACACTTGGAAACTAATAGAAGAGAGAAGGACAGTGAAGCAAAAGATTATCCAGTGCACGGACGAGCAACAAAAACAGGAGCTGAATGCAAGCTACAATACACTGAACAAAAGAGTGAAGAAAAGCGCCAGGGAAGACAAAAGAAAATATTATGAAACCATGGCAAACGAAGCAGAACAAGCTGCAGGCAAAGGAGACCTCGCCACACTCTACCAAACAACTAGGCACCTATCGGGCAAACGTTCGACACAGATTAAGCCAATAAAGGACGACAATGGAAAGTCAATCACCAAAGAGGTGGAACAGAGAAAGCACTGGGTTGAACACTTCAAAAGACTTCTAAATCGTCCGCCACCTACAACACGTCCAGCAATACCAACAACGGAAGCAGAACTACCAGTGAACACTGACCCCCCGACGAAATCAGAAGTCCTGAATGCAATCAAGATGCTTAAAACTGGGAAAACACCGGGACCAGATGGAATCCCAGCAGAGGCTTTGAAAATAGACCCAGAGACAACAGCGGACTTGATGACACCACTACTGGAGAAGGTGTGGAAAGAGGGCAAAGTACCCGAGGATTGGAAGAACAGTTACTTATTCAAACTTCCAAAGAAAGGAGACTTAAGTCAATGTAAAAACTGGCGTGGAATTATGCTTCTGTCCATTCCAAGCAAGATACTAAGTCGCATCATCCTGGAGAGAATCAAACAAGCCCTAGATGAAAAACTTCGTCCGGAACAGGCTGGATTCAGGAGAAACAAATCATGTATTGATCAAATCGCCACTCTACGGATCATCATTGAACAAAGCTTGGAATGGCAGTCACCTCTCTATCTCAACTTCATCGACTTTGAAAAGGCCTTCGACAGCGTCGATCGAGAGGTCATTTGGAAACTACTTCGCTACTACGGGGTCCCATTGACAATTATACACCTCATCCAACAGTTATACGACAATGCTGCATGCCAAGTAATCCACAACGGGAAACTTACGGAAGCCTTCGAAGTGAGGACGGGAGTGAGGCAAGGCTGTCTACTATCACCAATGATCTTCCTGATTGCAATTGATTGGATAATGCGACAGACAACGGCAACCAACGAGGGAACAGGCATAAAATGGACTGACACAAAAGACTTGGAGGATCTGGATTTCGCCGATGATATATGTCTGATTTCCCATAAACTGGAAGATATGCAAATGAAAAGTAACAAGTTGGCAGAAGAAGCATCAAAGATAGGACTTCACGTGAACATAGATAAAACAGAGGTGATGAAGATTCCTTGCCAACATCAACAGCAACAACAGACCACAATAAGCATAAATGGGAAGAACCTGAAAGAAACAACCTCCTTCACCTACCTGGGAAGCATCGTCTCAACTACAGGCGGAACTGACGAAGACATCAAAGCCAGAATCGGAAAAGCAAGACAAGCTTTCATTACTCTCAAATCTGTGTGGAGGTCAACAGCAATCAGCATCAAAAATAAGATCCGGATTTTCAACTCCAATGTGAAGTCAGTGCTACTATACGGATCAGAGACTTGGCGAGTCATAAAGAGCATCTCAAACAAACTTCAAACCTTCATTAACAACTGTCTCCGCTCAATACTCAAGATCAGATGGCCAGAAAAGATCAGCAACAGGGATCTCTGGGAGCGAACCAATCAGGAACCGATTGTGAAACAAATAGGCAGAAAGAAATGGAGATGGATTGGCCATACGCTGAGGAAACCATCAAGTGACATCACTAGACAAGCCCTCGAGTGGAACCCGAAAGGGAGGCGGCGAGTTGGTCGTCCAAGGGTGACTTGGAGGAGGTCATGTGAAGAGGAGATGAAAGCATGTGGGCAGACCTGGAGCAGGGTGAAAAAGTTGTCAGAAAACCGAAGTCAATGGAGGTGCGCAGCTGAAGCCCTATGTTCCTCTAGGAACTAAAGGATACAATAATAATAAATTCTATTAATGGAAACTCTTAAACATGTATAAAGTCAGATAACAGTGATATTTCATGGTCCTCTCAAGATTCCAATGTATTCACAAATTGAGAGGATTCTCCTGTTCAAAGAACTATTTGAAAACTTGAAGTCGATTTGAAGAATAATGCTTATCGATTCTCAGGCATTTTAACGTCTTCATTAATTTCATATATTTATATAATTACTCAGTAAAAGATAAGTAAATGAGAGACTTGAGTGTTTACTATTTATACCAAACTTCGAAAACACTGTTGCGAAATTAACGCATGATAATAATCGAATGTACGTAAAGTGCTTTTCCTGTCGTGAGTATGAAGAATTCGAAATTTCATTAAGATCAATGTGAATAAGATACAATTAGGAAATAAATAAAAAGTGGCCAACTCATTAAATGACACCTATTGATATATTTCCTGCCTCATTTCCTACCTCCTTGGCTGGAATTTTTCACTCCATGCGTTCCTGGTGGAATGTAGGGCTTGAGTTTTCAAGGTTTCAGTAGTGGTGGTGTTGTTTTTATGAGGTGGAGTGTCTGTCCCTTCGCCCATCCTTTCTCTCTCCCTCCTGGACTTACTTAAGTCCAGTACATCAGCAAAGGTTAGGGAATCCCTCGAACGGGAATCGAAACTAGACTACCTGCGTGTTTTATGGACGTTCAACCACTAATTCACCGACGTACGAGGCACTATCCATTAGGTCACTAGAGTCACATGTTAGCTAGCGTTAAACACTAATGAAAAGACACTTTAGATTGCATGACTCAAAATGAATCACTGATGAAAGGCTCATCATTCGCTTTGATCTATGATCATCTTTCACTACTGATTTTATATTCCTGTGAATATTATTAGTATTTTAGTTATTCTTTTAGCGTAATCATCATTTACAGCTGAAAGTGAACATGTACCTTAACTAACTAATACATCCTCAACTTCACTTGTCTTCTTATTACACCAAGTCATTCAGACTGTATGTCACAACAAAGCAGATTAGGACCAAGGCTTAGTCATCTTACTCACTCTTTGATACAGTATAGGAATTTTGTCAGAAAGAAACAAGTCGATCACAGAAAACTGACGCTATGTACACTAAATATTTCATTCATTGTCAACAGATAGATGTAAGAGTAAGACAAGGAGAGTAGATGAGAATTACTTATTTTCTGTACTGTCTGACCAATTTATGCTGTCATTTGTAGAAATAAAATGAAATCTAATTTATAACTAACTATATTAGGTGTAGAAACCTCTCAGGGTTATCATAGTGTGTTTTTTGCGAATTTCCATAATGATGAAGAAAACTATATTGTTGCTTTATGGACTTTCATTTCGGAAAGATTATCGACAGCATAGTTAATCAACTTGTCCTTAACCGTACTACATGAATTCGAAATTAAATCACCCTGGGTGACCATGATAAAAAATCGTATTGATACTGAATATATTTACAGTTATTTTGTCAATTAACTTGCTCAGTTTGGCACTAAACACTGTTTCGGTAGCCAATGATATAGTCAGTAGAATGGTTAATGCTCATTCTCTTTTCACAAATAGGTGAGATAAAGTACAAGTCAGTGTATTGTTGAAACAGTTTTTATGCTGAAGTAATTTGACTAAAATCATATTCTGTGTGGAGTAGTTACTCGTTGAATAACAGGCAAAATGAGCATTGATGAATCTGTCTTTCAAAGCATAGCAATTTTCAGTCTATGCATTTGTACATGTGACACAATACTAGGTCTATGCTAGTCAGGCATGCAAAAGAACAGCATATGATTAAATGACTGTCAACTGAAAATAATTTCTTTTCTCAACAATGCAGATAACAAGTAATCGATCAATAAGGACATGAGAGATAGTGTTTGTTGTTGTTTGTTTTTATTACTCTAGATATGAAGCTAGCTCAGTGCAAGTTGTCAAGCCTATTCACTTGGAATCTTTAACTGCTTGGTCTAGGAATGGCTCAGTTATTCCGAAAGAATACATTTCAACCATGCATATGAATAGTCGATTATTGAAGAAACTTGGTTACGCTACCAATGAAATTCCACCAAATTATGAAGATTTATGCAAAGTTGACTCAGTATTGTGAAACAATGCGAGAAAAAGAGACAAGAAGAAGATAGGTATAGATAGATAGTCAGAGTGGAGACGATGCTTATCTTGGCAATGACGATAACATTTCAATCGTTTCATCGGTATTTTTTTTACTGTTTTTACTATTTTTGTACAAAGAAATACATCTTCAGTAGGCTGATGATTATTGTGATTGATATATTACATCGTATGACGAATGCAATCACCTGTCAGAGAAAAATACTAAAATTTTCTGAAATACAATTTACAAATTTGTGTGTTGGTAAAATGGAATTTCGCCTTATCGTATTTCTAGAGCATTAATATTTTCACAAGGAGTTATTTAATTTGATTGATGGCTAGCTAATCCAATGAAATCATCTCTAGGAGCTAGAAGTGAGAATTTATAGTTAGTAATTTTAAGACTTTTTAGTCTAGGGTGTAAAATATCTTTCGAATATGTCATTTAGTTGTGTGGAGCAGGTGCATGAGTAGTCCAATGATAGAATGCACGCCGATTACTCTGGAGGTCTGGGTTCGATTCTCAGTCAACATACTTGGTAATCACTACTAGTTCAATAGAAAACCGTAACTTTAGGGAAGAGAGAAGGTGTGGTGTATTTTCTTACCCCACAAAATCCGACACCGTGGTTAATGAAACGTCAAAGTTCAAAATGGAAGGAATGGAAAGGTAGAGCAGTGGAGTACTCTTCACTTAAAGACTTAGTTCTACTGCTGCACTCAACTGGTGACTCATCAAACAGAAGAAATCGCACATTGTACATTTTACTTATGATATGATCTACGTAAGGCAAACAAGCAGACCTGATCAATATGAAAACTGACGCAAATACACGATTGTTCAAGCCGTGAAAATGAGATAGAAGTTATTAGAAAAAGCCAATTAAGAATAAGAAAAGACGAATTATTCTAAAGTCATAGTACAAATAAATGGTCAACAGGCTGTCCCCATAACCTGAAGGTAGTGGATTCGATCAAAGTTGGGATCCTAGGTGAGTGAGTATTTCTGAAGAATCCCAAACTAGGTGGAAACAAATCTCCAGTTCTTCATGGTTTTCGATGAGTCCCTGACGGATATCATTTGGTGATCCAACTTGAAAAATATCTGTTATCCTACACTTATGTAAAAAAGACTATTCCGAACTGTATCCCAACGGAGGTACAAGTCATCTGAAGGAATGCTTCATTGAAGTCTTGGTGAATACTTTCAGGACCACTTGTAAATTATTCCTGACTGCAAATAATTTTTCGAATAGTGTCTTAAGAAATCTAATCTATCTCACTGATGTAATATTGGTTGATATTTTGCTCGCTTAAATTCTGAATACTGGAAAACTGTGTTCTAGACAGTCTGCTTGTTTGTAGGTGTTTAACACTTACTTACTGACTGACTTACTTAATTAATCATTATCACCTCCTACAGTAAACAGTGGGAGCTAACTAAACCTTTGAAATGCTCATGCAAAAGACACACTGCGTGGACGATGTACTCACTAGTCACTGTTCTGCTTCTGTAGATGTCATAAGGAGATATTTTAGTCTGAAATCAAATTTGACTTGTAAGTGAATGAAACACACAGGTAAATTAACCGAGGAATTCAGTTTTGGTTATAACATGCTGTCATTTCTGGTGAAATTATCCTCTTTTAGATGAAGACACTGAAGTTACGTTGGAGTTACTCTTACCTAAACAATCTCTTGTAATGTTTATCACCTTTTCATCCTAATTACTTGTTGTTCAAGGAAACAAATCAACCTTCTTTTCTACAAATGAATGAATAGCAATGGTAGTCACGATGAATCTGTAATCTATCAGTTTAGTGGCAAAAGAATACTACCCTACTGAGATAACAGCAACAAAACTCTAATGAAATATGCATGTATTGATTAGCTATAAAAACAGTTGTCTAGTGTGCTAAGAACATAATATTAAGTGTTATATTTAGGGTAACTATCATGAGTTTTTCTTTGTTTCACTATGTGACTGTTTTCTATGGTGCAGCAAAAGATAAGCTAACCGTAACGATTTATCATACGAAACAAAACTGGAATCATAAATGTACATACAAACATTAATTTTAAGAACGCGAACCAAATATTTGCGTCTATTCAATAAAACATCGCTCAAGTCTCCTCACTTAGAGAATTCCTATCATAATACGTCATCGGCTACTCAGAAATAACGTATCATGTGTATTCATGAATTCATTGTTGAGTTAGAAATTAAATTTAAACTACATCACCACTCTCTCAAAACTGTATGTCTTACACTCTAAAAGTTATTTGTCTGTAACTATACAAATCAGAGAACAGAGAAATATATTTAACGTATATAGAATACTGAAGTGTTTAGATGATACAAGATTCTTCTACATTTAATGATGAGAGAAATGAAGCTACTACTCTTGTACTTTTATAAGTGTTTTGGGTGACCGTGAAAAAATTACTTAACACTTGCTTGGTATACCTATTTCTACTACAACTTGTGAAGGATAATGAAATCAATAAGGTGAAACGTCTATCAAGAAATAAGTAGCAGTCATGATGAAATAGTTGTAGTTGTAGTGCAAATCCCAATGTTTAAAGACTTTCTTTTAATGTGTAGATATATGAACTGGCTGTGACGCTATTTGGTGCTATTCCGCTGTACTATCAACACTCACATTGTTTGAGTTTGTAATACAGCCATATTCATCAGATAAGTTCTAGACCTTTTTAATTAGATAATCTCCCCTTTTTCATTTGCTCAAATGTACGGCGCACCAGAGCATATGTGGTGATTGACAATTTCTATCTCTGTATTGTTTAAAATACTTACTGTTGACTGTTGATATGTTTCATATATGAATTGCATTCTAATTCCGCTAAATACAAATTACTGATTGCTGCCCTCTCGGCAATGGATAAAGGCACACACGGGGTGTCGTTATGTGTTATCGCGATGTTGTGTTCGGGTTGTTCTACGTTGTTTTCAGGTGTTTTTTCAGCTGAAATACATCATAAATACCATATTTTAACGAAAAAACTTAGACAAATGGTGGAAAGTAGACGCTTTCAGCAGTTTGAGTGAACATGTATCTGTCATTGAATTTCGTTATTTCTTTCCATGTGGAATGTTAAAACTCTGTGTAAATTGTTGATTATGTTAAGGAAAACGATATCAATCAGGCAATTGATGCATATTTTGCGAAATTCTGAAAGGGTCTTTTGATTTTCTGAGATATGAAAACTTGGTAACACTCAGAAGAGTCTACAGCTATAAAGGAGTGTTAGTTGATTTATTCGCAAGATAACAGTTAATAAACAAATTTTTTTAAATAGTTACTTTGGTTTGGAGTATTTTCGTGTTGCTAATTATTTGCTAACGGATGTCATACTATTGTTGATTTGCAGGTTGCAATTGTAATTTACGAAGTGGTTCACTTTATTTGGAGGTTTTAATGAAGTGCAATTGAAGAATTTGCGCGTTATCGTTGGAATCTTTGTGATATTATAAAATTATTTATCAAAATAAATATCTCTTTAATGTTTTAACGGTATTCTTTAAAGAATTCACTACTACTTCCCTTTGCTTGTCGAAGGAATAGTGATGTAGCCGGTTTTGGAATGCGTAGTGATTTAATCTGAAGGAGTGATAATTTACGCAGCATAAGAATACTGGGATTTTCTTCAATAGGATATACTTATGACGCGTTATTTTCGATGTACGTAGCCGCCCTACATTTGTTATGTATATGTAGTAATCGCAAAACAAACCTAAGCTCAAGGTATATTTTTTCGCAAGCCCTGATGAAACATAATCTTTTACGCAGCCGTATTGAGTGTAACTGAAACAATTCATGGGAGGCTTGATGACGCACTGAGGAAATAATAACGGTTTACGATTATCACGCATTTCACACAAGTATTACTACGTTGCCTATCAACTTCGTTAACTATGCAATGTCCTCGAAATGATAATTAAGAGAGATACATGTAGTCAACATAAATGCATATATTTACAAAATAAAAACAGTTAAACAGTACATATTCACATTAAAAAGGGTGGAAAAAAAATCAGTTGTAGATTTTTTATGGGTACATGATTGTCAAATTAAAGTCCACTAATCGTTTTATCCACAATATGTGGATCAGTTTCCCTTAGATGATTGTGACACTGGACCAGTCTTTACAGCTTTCAGCACCACCTGATCCTTCAGAAGAAACTGGTTATGATCTTTCTATGCAAAGATTGAGATTGTATTCCTTTGACCACCTCCGGCTACACTCAGAAATATCTAAGGATATATACATATCAGATGAATTAATCTTACCTCAGGTAAACAATCCCTAATCTTAGCAACAATGAATATGTGAACAAGGGGGGGGGAAATAGTAGAATCGGTATGAACAGTCCATATATCCCATAATAAACTTGAAGAATCCTAAAACTTCCGATTTATCTTTCACACTTTGTCTTCTGCAAAATGCAAATGTTACACAAATGCCTCTCCTCTCTGTCCGTTACAATCAACTGAAAAAGACTAAATCTTCAAACTTTATACTTCTTTGATTAAGTTACCCAATAATATTCTCTTTTTTGGTGGGTCCACATGCATATCACATCTGTAGAGTCTATACATGCGTTAACTTGTGTCCTTAAGCTGAAAAAATGTTATGTTTATGCGACTTTTATTAGTATCATTTCAAAGCCCGCCTCAGTAACGTGAGCTACGTATTAGGCGCAGCGTTTACGCAAAGTAAAATCTACCAATCACAGTACACACATGTGACCTTGAGGTGCTCAGCCTCTCCATGAGGTCGTGTGTGCCTTTATCCATTGCCCTGCCCTCTCTGGGTTTTGATTAGATTCCTATAATTCCGTCATCCCGGTATATTAATATTTCAATTACAATAAATTACTACAAATTGGCGTCGCGATGGAGCTAAGTAACCTGGGAAAATTTCCTCTTAATGGTTCTCCACGGGAGATTGCTGATTATTTGGAATGCTTTG